ACCCCTGGGCCACATCCACTCACTCACAGGGCCACATCCACACACCCCTGGGCCACATCCACACACCCCTGGGCCACATCCACATACCCCTGGGCCACATCCACTCACTCACAGGGCCACATCCACACACCCCTGGGTCACATCCACTCTCCAGGGAGGAGACGATTTATAGTCTGTCCAGTCCCCAGCTACAGCAGAGAGGAACTTAGAGAATTTCCAGGGCCACCTCTGATGGCTGTCCCTGAGCCCAGGGCTTAGGAAAACCCAAGGTGGGGGCAGTGAACTCAGAAGGAGGTACTTGGCACCCTGATGAACATGCCTGGTGGGGCCCATGTGAGTTTCACACTGCTGCCCCTCCCCAGCTGACCTGGATGTCCAGTCAGCAGAGAGTCCTGCATCAGGCCTAAGGACCTGCAGGGCCACCACTGCAAAGGTTCTAGAGAGGTCACTGGCACCCCCTCCAGGCAGGCCCACGTGCAGGAGATAGTTCAAGTCCTTTGGCCATCACATCACCTATTGTTATACTTGTTCTCAGGGCAGTTTAGCATAACAAAGCACCAGGGCAAGGGAATAACTCAGTGGGTACCTGAACTTTAGAGAAAATGAGTCTTCCACCCAAAGGTAAGATTCACATTACACTGTATTGGAGGAACATGGGTTAAGGGCAAAGTCTGTTTCCGTCTTAATAATGTTTTTCCCATGTGGTAGGAAAAAAAAAACTTGCTTTTTTTGTCTCATGGCAAAAGCATCATACATTCATTGTGAAAGATTCGGAACATAGACAAGGAAACTCAATGTCTGCGCACATTTCTGATCCTGTTCCTGGGATAGATTCCCAGAGGTGGAACAGCTGGGTCAGAGATGTCCCAGACAAATAGCCCTCAATGAGATGGTCAAATTCAAGGTTACCTGGCTTCACACCTGGGCCGCTTGGCTGCCAGCTACCAAGCCTGAAGCTCTTCCTGGGGTCTCTCTAGCCCAGGCAATAGCTCTGGCCGCACAAGGCACCACTTGGCTGGAAAGACCTGCACAGAGGTGGGAAAACCCAAGTGGCTGGGAGCTGGCTCTCTTGCCTGCTCGAGCACTGTAGTGAATGTTAACTATCTCCACAATTTCCTCCCCAGCAACCCAGAGAGGGGGATGAGTCTTATTTCTATCAGTTTTGAGATGGGAAAACCTGAAAGGAAGTGAAATTTAGAAAACTGAACCAAACCAAGCCAAGAAAACCATAAAGAGCTCAAAATTCACTTCTTTGCTGACCACTGCCCTCTCTGCCCCTCCCAACACATTGGGCTCTCTCGCTCACTGAACCCAAGCCAGGCGGTTTTCTTTTTCAGGTTGCTTATAACAAAACAAAATAAAAACAGAAAGTGCATTTTTTTTTAAAACCAATTGAAACAGCCCAGTCCAGGCATCATGGCTTTCCCCAGCCCACACTCGCTGTCCAGACCTGCCCCAGACTGCAGTGGAGCCAGCCTTCCCTGGCCTCTGCCCCAGCTTCCCGCAGGCCCCTCAGCCCACACCACCTCACCATGGCTAGCTGCCATGGCATGGTACCCCAGGCAGATGGAGACAGGGCTCCTCACAGGCAGGGCTAAGGATGAAACCAAAGCTCTGCTGGACAAGGTCGGCTTTCCAGGGAGGGGTCCGAATTAGAAGGTGGGTGGGTGAGGATCTGGACCAAACCACACTATCAATTTAGCATGATGTCGTTGACCCAGTTTCCAGTGGGTGAGCACAGTGGAGTTGCCTGCGGCGCCCACATGGTTGCCAAGAGGGACCCAAGGCTGTTGTCCCCATGTGCCCTCAGCAGGTTTCAGATACCCTTCTAAGATCCTCTAGGGCAGTTCTCCAGCGTGCCTGTTCTCTTACTATAGCTATTTGGGGGCTACCCTGGCCCCATCCTCCACCATAAATATGGCTGGCCTCAACAATTTACCAGTTGGAAATCATCTCCACTTATCTTTTTCTTCCACAGGGCTTACCTGGGCCTCCTGGACCTAAGGTGAGTGTCTTCGGGGTGACGCACTGATTAGGCAGGAGAGTTCCCTGCGGGGGGTGGAGCAGCCAAGTGTGGTCTCCACTGAGAGATGGATTGAGCTTGGCTCAGTTCCAAAACACACCTTCCTCTTAGCAACTGATCTGGTTCCAACAAAAATCGTACTCCTTGCACACTCAGGCTGGTGGAGGAAGTCCTCTGGCTGGCATAGAAGGCACAGTCCCACCCCCCAAGGGCTTTCTAGTCTAGTTGGAAACTAAGCAGATGCCCAGGACACTGTCACAACATCCCAGTAAAATAGTGTTTTGTAAGGTGGTCAGGACGGAGGAGGCCTGACCACCTCCAGGGTTGCCCAGTCTCCTGCAAACTCTCACACAGATGGCCACAGTGTCAAATAGACTCCACCATTAGAGGAGGTTTCCCAGGCTCAGAGGTGAGAAAGGGCCCAGCTTTGATTATGCCCAGTAGTTTTATAAATGTGGAGCTAAGGTCCCTGGGGAAAGTTTCTTGTCCAAGTTCAACAGAAAGTCAGTGGTGGAACAAAAACTGGCCCTCAGGTCTTTCAGGTCCCTACCCAGTTGACCCTTTCCACCGTTCCTCCGCTTCTGCAAAGCAGGGCTTATTCTGAAGGGTACAGCAATCTCTATTGGTCTCAGAGGAAGCAGAGGGCTGTTGTCCCAGGGATGGCGGGAGTTGGGTGTTGAAGGGGCAGGAGGATCTGGAGTCCTTATGAGGAAGGGGAACAGCACAGGCCAAAATTTGACTTGGGAAAATCTCTTTAATGGCATTCTCTTTGTTTCCCCAGGGAGACCCAGGAATCCAGGGCTACCATGGCCGGAAGGTAAGATGAAGGGGGAGGACCCCGCCACCCCCAGTGATAACTCGAGTGGGGCCTCACCTAGTGCACACAGAGGCAGGACTCGGTCATACACAATGTATGTTTGCATACATACCGCCCAGTGGGAGCCTCCACCTGCAGGGGGAGGAGAAGCAGAGGGGATGGGCCTCGGGCCAATCAGTGGTCTAGCAGGACCTCAGACCCAAGAGGCTCTCTCACTGCCAGGCTGTGTGGCGGTATCCGTACTGGGGCAGGCCAGGTCCTCACTGGCCCTGAGGACCTGATAAGTGGGAGCTCAGAGCTCTGTGCTGAGCAAGTGTGGGGGCCACAGAGGGGTCCAGCTCTGCTCTGTGGCAGGTCACAGTCCAGAGAGACAGAAGCATTCTTGCTGCACAGATAACCCCAGTGGAGGCATGACATGCTACCATCACAAGGCACTGTGTGAACACACAAGGTGGAAAGAAAATTCCAGATAGGGAGGAGTATGGGGAGACTTCTGGGAGAAGACAGCCTGTGAACTCAACCTTGATGAATGGGTAGATGGATCCATTACCTATTGCCATGTAACAAACCATCCCAAACTTACTGACTTAAAATGGATGGGTCATTTCTCATGATCTTGCTGATCTGGAAGCTCTCCTTGGCTTACTCATGCAGTAGAATTAGATGATAGATGGAGGGGCCAAGACAGCCTCTTTCACATGTCAGATGGCTGGTACTGGCTGGGGGCTGGGACTTCTGGTCTGCTCCACGCTACTTCTCATCCCCCAGTGGGCTAGCCAGGCTTCTCCCTACAGCACAGCAGGCATTCAAATGGGTGGGTCTTAGCTGGATATGTTCAAGTGTCTGCTTATATCACATTTTCTAATTTCCTTTTGGTTGATACAAGTCACACGACCAAGTCATGTGGTATGGGTGGAGTCCTGGTTTCCACCTCTTGACAAGGAAGAATAGCAAAGTACCCAGGGCCATTTTTAATCCATCACTGTGGTCCCTCAGCAAATCTGAAGGGAAATGGTATTTTAGACAGGGAAACAATTTGAGCAAAGGCCCAAAGGTGATCATGACAATAACCATACTAATGTAAGAATAATTTATTATAAGTCACTACTAGCTGAACACCTCCGATAGGCCAAGAACTTTCTTTCAACTCATGCTGCATTATATCTAACCCTAAAACCACCCTGGGAGGTGGGTATGAGGCTGGTATGACTATTCTATTTAACAAGTGAGAAAACTAAGTATCTTAGTCTGTTTTGTGTTTCTATAACAAAATAGCACAGTCTGGGTAACTTGTAAAGAAAAGGAATTTCTTCCTTACAGTTCTGGAGGCTGGGAAGCCTGAGGTCAAGGGGCCAGCATCTGGTGAGGGACATCTTGCCACGTCATCCCATGGGGGAAGGCAGAGAGGGGGAGACAGCAGGAGAGAGAGAGAGAGAGCTGAGCTTGCGTTTATAACAAATATACTCTCTCAGTAAGGAACCTACTCCAGTAGTAACTAACTCATCCCCACTATAGCAACATTAATCCACTCCTGAGAGCAGAGTCCACCTAATCATCTCTTAAAGGACCCACCTCTCAACACTATTGCATTGGGGATTAATTTTCCTAAACATGAACTTGGGAGGATACATTCAAACCATAGCACTGAAGCTTGCCCACAACCTCATGGGCTGTAAGTGGCGGAGCAGGAATCCAAACCAGGTCTTCCTATGGTAACACCTGCTGTAAAGAACCCATCCCTGCCCTCCAGACCAGGTCGGGAAGCCTCTAGAGCAGCAGTTCTCATCCTGTGAGTCGCCACCCACAGGAACTGTATTAAAGGGCCTCAGCATTAGGAAGGTTGAGAACCACTGCTCTAGAGCCTTCCAGGAGGAGAAAAGAAGCAGGAAGGAAGGCACCAGGAGGGGGAAGGAATGTTGAAAAGAGAAGAATCGCTCTGGAGAAGCACATTCCTCACACGCTGCAGTTGGTGCCTGCCATCACCTGGCTGGGGTGCCTGCTGGATGAAATGGCAAGACCTGAGAGATCTTTAATTAGTTCTGCATAAACTGAGAAGTGTGTATAGTGTCAGGAAGTGGAAATCAGCCCCCGCAGTTGCCTCCATCCACTCATGCAGACTCATAAAATTTACTGCCCCCTGCGCAACACAGGGTTGGTTTTCCCATTAACAGCTGGGCCATCACTTTCAAAGCTGTGAAGGGGCTGCGGGGCCAGCAGAGCACCCCCAGGCATCTTGGCGATGCCCTCAGCTGGCATCAGACCATGATGGGCATCTTCATTCTGCGGTGAACTGGAAGTCTGGTCACCCAGACAGGAGTTTGGGGTCTGTTTTCCTAAGGAGAGAGAGTCCTCCACTTAGCTCTGGGGTGTCATGATGCTACAGGGCCTGGCTAGGTGACAGTGGCAATCCTAGACTCAGATTGTAAGAAGAATTATTTAACCCTGCTGCATTGAATTTACAGAGCAAATCAGTGTAGTCCTGGTGATAGGAGAGCAGCTCCTGTCCCTGGGAATTGGGAGGCTTGCTCAGGACATCACAGACTCCGTCATGGAAGAGAGAGCATTCCTCTTCTGTATGACGAAGGGTAGCACAAGTGCTGATAGGTTAACCTACAGGAAGAACAATTCCCGAACAATAAGAGGGAGCTTCCTAATACTGAGGTGCCTTAGGAAGTGTTCAGCAGGGCTGGAGAACAAGGACCTGAGAGGTGCTAAGAGAAGCCTCTGTATCACAGAGGACACTGGATTAAAATCCCTTCCAGCTTAGGGAGGCCACGGCTTCCTGAGGACAGAGTTGGCTCCATATCCCCTAGAGAGGAGCAGCCGAGCCTTGTGAGGGGTCTCCATCTCCTTGGGCCTTTGTCCAAGTCTTTTCTCTATCCACACCCAGGGCTTTCAGAAGCTTCCCCATACCTAGAGCTACTGCTCTTCTCAATCTGTCTTTTCAGTGGGCGCCACTGGAGCTACCATCCTTGCAAAGCCAAATGGCCCATGGGTTGTCTCAGCAGTCTCCCCCTCTGTGCTGGCCCTCACTTTGTCCTGACCCTTGTCCTGCCACCAACTCACCACTGCCTCCTAGTCTACCAGAGGCAGAGGGTGGACACCAGGAACTAAGACCATCAGCGGGAGGCCCACCCAAGGACTTGAGGTTATTCCTTGAGAGGCCGTAAGTGTCTGTCCCACTGCTTCAACCCCAATGAGACAGTGGGTATCTTGACCTTGGTGATCCCATGCTTAGGTAGAAGTTTGCTTTTCTCCTGAGATGAAGAGATTTTTTTGTCTTTGGTGCCAAAACCGAAGTGCAGCATCACTTTGCATCTCTAGCTCAGCTACTCACTCCCTGTCTCAGTGCTTAGAGCTCATTATCCTGATTGTATAAACGAGAAATTCAGAGAGGATAATGCTTTGCACAGCGGGTGAACGATCATGCTGAAATTAAAAGTAAGGTCTTAGATAAGTCCAGCAGCCAGTCCATCTTTGCACCCTGGTGCAGAAGTGAATGGCCACTGAGGGGTTCTGGTCAGGGGGTCTCACCGCAGGCTAAGCTAACTGTGCACACCTCCCTCCCCTGTGGTTCCTCTGGGATATGCAGGGCTGTCCCCAGCCTCGCTCCTTTAGCCAGTCCACTCTCTTTCCCTCTCTTCCCTGCTCTGCTCTCTCTGTGGCATGAGGCATGGGGAGAAGGCACAACACAGAGGGTGGCTTGGTCACAGATGCTGGGAAGATGAGTCTGCTCTGCCCCACCACCCCAGGGAGGAACAGGTACCAGCAGGTGGGGACAATGCACCAAGACAGAGGTCATATGGCTGCCCTCAAGGTCAAGCCTGAGCAGGACCCATGGGGTAACTGATGGACCCTCCACACGAGCTTGTCTTGCTTTGTCCCAGAGACCTGACACACAGGCAGGGAGTCCACTCTGGTGGCACAGGATGGAATTTAACTCTCGGTGCACATGGCTCTTAGCCTGTGCAGCTTGCTAGTGATTGCTGCTGTCCACCAGCACTCTTGCCTGCTGGGCTGGGCCTGGCACCCTCTCAAAGGCCAGCCAGGCCAGCAAGGCAGGCTTCCCTACTACTTCCTTGAGATCAAAGCCTCACGTGGCCAGCTGGCCCAGCGCTGCCCTTATGCCCCACTGGGGGCCAGCCCTCCCGCCTAGACACTGCGAGTATTGTTATGCACCCATGTGGTACCTATTTGATCCACATTTATGACACTGATCTACTTTAAATATGTTGCAAGACACAAAGTGTGTTTAAAACATTACAACCTTGGCTCACTTTCAAGAGGATTGATGAGTATTGTCAGATCGGATGTGGATCACAAACCTGGTGAGAGCTTATCTCTAAGGACATCAGAACACAGGTACTCCCTCTCACAGCAGGGGCCTATGGCTGTCTGGGGGTTAAGCCTCAGGGTTTGCATGAAGGGCCCTAGCTGAAGTGCAACTCTCCCCCACCCTCTACCCCTACGCCCCTAGGCTGCAGGCTGTGTGAGTTTCAGACCAGAGGAGGAAAGATTGAGAGCCTCAGGCTGAAGCCACTTACAGCTGTAGTTACCCACCCCTCCTGGAGGCCAAGGGGGCCCCTCCAGAAACAGAGACTCCCTGTGGAGAAAATGCAGCCCACCCAGCTGTCCCAGGCCTCATTCTGTGGTTGTGCTGGCCCTCCTTCTCAAAGCACTTCAACCTTTCTGCCAAAAGCCATGAGGGTTTTGACCTACCGGTCAGAGCAAGGGTCTGTGGGGTGGACATACTTCTGGAAAATGATGATTTGTGCTGTTATAACTACCTTACTTTTCAACATTCCAGGCTGTGCACTAGGCACTTTGCATGTATCAACTTATTAAATACTTGCCACAACCCTGTCAGGTAGTTTTTATTCTTATCCCCAATTTACAGATGAGCAAATTAAGGTTCACAGAAGCTATTCCCCACCTACAAGGTCTACAACTAGGAAGTGGAAAAGCCAGGTCTGTTGGACCCCAAAGCCTTGCTCTGAATGACTTTATTACCTACATCTTAAGAGCCCCTGGGGACCCCACAATTGAGGGGGCCCACCTCTCTCCTAATGGAAGAAAAAGAGCTGGGAGTTGAGCTATCTTCCTTCTTGTGAGGAGAGGGTTTGGGCTGAACTGAGGCCTCTCTCTCAGCCTCCAGGATCTCTGTGAGCAGTAGCTGGAGAGTCCTCAGTGGAGTATGCAGGGGTCCGCTGTGTTTTGAATGGCAGAGCTGAAAAGTGGAATATTCTTGCCCGTTGCCATTAACTCTGCCCAAATGATCACCCCAGGGAGATGGGATGGTCCCAGGACTTCCAATAAACTCAGAAGGAAGCAATTTGTCCCAACCTTCACAACAGCTATTCTAGAAACCTTCCTGTGCCCCTCTGGCTCCCGGAAGACCTGAGTGACCCCAGGTGTCCTTTGGCACTCACATATAGCAGAATGCTCCCCATAGATGGAAGCCATAGACACAGGAGTCTCTCTGGGGACAGAGTTTTCTTCAGAGCCATGAAATCCCAGTGGGGACCTTCAGACCATTTAAATTAAAGCAGATCAGAAAACTAAGACCTGGGCCCCAGATCTGAGGCCTCATGGGGACTAAAAGGACCCATCCCCCGCCCTGTGCTCTCTGGGCCCTGTTTTTCCTGCGCTTCTAAGTCCAAACACTAATTAGAGCTGACTTTTCTTTTTGGAACTAACTACAAAATCATCCGATCTCAAATTGAGATTACAAGCCAGCCGCCCTTCCAAAGCCCTGGCCTTCAATGAGGCACCCGACCCCGGTAATTCCCTGGATCACTTCCTGCCGGCCCTAATTACCGGAGGACCTGGGATTTCCGCGGTTCCGTTCCTCTGTGGTGTGGAGGCTGGCTGGGTCAGGGCAGCAGGAACTGAGCTGCCTTTTTCCCGGAAGGGAGGCCTGGGAACTTTTTAGGACAGAAAAGCATCAGCCCTCCTCCCCCAGCTTTTCCACTCCAGGAAAGGGCCCTGGTCCAGGCCTGAGGCCTGAGCTGCCAAATACCACCTCCCCCTTCCTCCAGCCCTCCACCCCCCAACTCGCAGACAGGCCTTCCTCCTCCCCTGCAGAGAACAAAGAGGCTGTGTGCCCTGCTGCTCTGGCCCTGGCCTTCCCACCCAGACCTGGCTGCAGCAGGAGCCCAGGCTTCACCTAAGGGAGATGCATTCATCTCCCTGAGCTCTCTTGGCCTGACCTTCTTTTTGCTGGGATCTGACCTTGAAGTCCCCCTACTTCTTCCAGACTGTGTCTTCTTGCCAAGTCCATGCCCAGCTTGTTCTACAAACAGTAAATAACCAATTAAGAGGCCACTCCCACAGATCTCACTCCCAATCTGTGAAGGATGGGTCCTCCCACCTGGGAGCTGGGACCAGAAGAGAGGACATATTGATGCTTTCATGTGCTCAGGTGCAGGGCCTAGGTGGGGAGTCTTGGGTGGAAGTCTCCAAGTCAGGCTGGGATAGGCCTCCAAGGGCATTCAGAGCAAAACCCTCTGTACCCATCTGTGCTCCCCAGAACCTCCTCAGCCACCCTCTGTGCATCGGTTCTTGGCACAGAGGCTAAAAAGCCAGCCTCCAGACTGTAAGCCACATACACCTGAACCGGAGGGTTCGAATCCAGCCCAGGCCTGCCAAACAACAGTGACAACTGCAACCAAAAAATATCTGGGCTTTGTGGTGGGCACCTGTAGTCCCAGCTACTTGGGAGGCAGAGGCAGGAAATGGCTTGAGGCCAGGAGTTGGAGGTTGCTGTGAGCTATGATGTCACAGCAGTCTACCCAGGGGGACAGCTTAAGGCTCTGTCTCAAAAAAAAAAAAAAAAGGCCAGCGTCCCAGAGGGGTGACCGGGGGCTGGTCCCGAGTTACAGGTCTGCCATCACACCCCATGTAAACAGGCCGAGACAGTTTGTAATGCTTGGGGCCTGCACTTTCCCAGCTGTAGGGTGGCCCAGATAGGGTGGCTGAGAGCCCCTGGGAGCCGCCAGGATCCCCCACCCCCGGAAGACAAGGGACGGTAGAGATAAAGGAGGTAAAATGAGGCCTGTGAGCTTCGACAGGCTGGGAGAGCCAGGCCTAGAAGATGAAGATGGTACCAAGTGAGTGGATCTAAATGAACACAATTCCTAACTGAAACTTTTTAGGTAGGAAAACTTAACAGAGAAATTAGAAAAGACGGGGTCTGTGGATAGGATCTCACAAGACATGCCATGGGAACGGCCCTCTGAGCAGAATTGGGTCACTGTCCTCCTTTGGCAATAGTCAGCGGCAGCCCTCACCTCCTGTCTCCTGCAAGTGGGCTTGTTTTCCCAGCCTGTCCCCTCCAGCTGCCTGCCAACAGGGCCACATTGGAACCCTTGACAATGACTCTCACCACACCCTCTACCCAGGAATGTTGTTCTCTGGGCTGGGAGAAGCCCAGCTCCCCAGTTCAGAGGTGAGGTGGGGCAGACCCACAGAGACAAGCCCTGAGGACTGAGCCTAATGAGAGTGGAGTGGACAGTGGGGGAGGTCAGCTGGGTACCCCTGCTTCCTGCCTAACAAAGGGGCAGAAGGGAAGGAGGCCTGAGGTGGGGGTCAAAGGAGCCTGGGGCCTGGGTCATTTGTAGAATTAAGAGCCTTGACTCAGAGGAGAGGGAAGGGTCAAAGGTCAGCCACCCTGCAGAGGAGGGCTGCCTCTCTAGAAGGCTCCAAGACTGTGACTTCCCCTGAGGGCACAACTGTGTACATCAACAGCAGACAGCCCCAATTAGTGTGGAAACCCTCCGGCTTCCTTCCGGGTTTTGCTCTGCACAGCTTCTTCAGAGATTGAAGACAGCAGCCCAAGGATGAGGGTGAAGCAGAGCCCACGTCCTGCCCTGAAGTAGCTTCTCACAGCTGGCCCTCTGTGGGCAGGGGGAGGGGAGAGCAGAGGCCCCTCCTAGAGCCACATTTCTTCATGGCAGCTAAGACCTTCAGCCTTTTTCTGGAGCTGCCAACAGACCCAAGTGTCACCTCTCAGAGTCTGGCCTCTCTCCCTCCTAAGTGCTGTTCAGAGGAGCGGACAGGGTTGGGTGAGTGGAGAGTGCGGGGAGCAGGAGTGGATAGGAGGGATCTGGTCTAACCTCACTTTGCAACCGAAGACCCTGGACTCAGAGAAGGAAAGTGGCTTTTCCACGGTCACACACACTTGCAACCCAGCTCCCTAAAGTGGAGATAGAAAGAAGAGGACAAAGGCATTGGAGGGAAGCGGAAGACAGAGGAAGAAAAAAGAGGGATGAACACTCTCAAGCTGACCTCCCACCTGCACCCACACTCTGTGGGCCCCTGGGCTGAATCAATCTGATTGGGCTGGTTGGAATGTTAGTGGAGGATACTGGTTCCAAAAATAAAGAGTGACAGAGGCCCTAAGCTGGCCCTCCTGAGAGAGGGCTTTGAGACCATTGCGGCCAGAGTAGCCAGACTTCAGGCACGGTCCTCTTGCGCCCTCTGCTGGCCACAGGGCAGACCTGTGAATGTAGGCAGGGCCCCACCCACGCTGTTCTGGACTCTCTGGACTGAGCTGCCTCACACACCTGGAGGCACCGCAGAGGGCTTTGCCCTGCTTTCAGCCTCTGCAGGCTGTTTGATGAGGGTGGATGGAAAGTCAGTGCATCCGGTGTTGGGGTTTTCCAGGAGAAATGAGCACCTAGGCTTTGGCAGACAAGAAACTCAGGTTCAAAGCCCTAGTTCGCATGACCTTGGCAATCATACCTAGCCTCTCTGAGCCATAGTTTGTTTACCTGTGAAAGAGAAATAACATCTACTCCCACCCAGGCCCACATCCCTGGGAGAGTTAGACCCAGGGGATTTGGAGGAGAAGAAACCCCAGATGAGGAGAGTGAGGAGCTCCTGTCTGGCTCAGCCAGGAGGTACTGTTCCCAGCAAAGCTGCCAGAACTAGCATAGAGCAAGAAGCAGCAGGCAGGAGTGGGCAGGAAGGATACAGTTGTGAGCAGCCACATGAGGGTCCCCTGCCCTCACAGCCCTACTGTAGACTGCACCCCACAGCCCTAGTCCCAGGGCCAGCCTGGCTACTGAGGAGAGATAGATCTTGAGCAAGTCACCTCGCCTTACTGGACTGGATGCCACATCGTGGGCCTCTCCTTCTGGGGGCCTTTCCTGCTCTGGGATCTGTGACCTGGGCCCTCCTGCAAGTTTGTATAGCTAAGGCAATGACCTACATGGCTGCTAGCACAGGGTAGGATCCTCAGAGCTCCCTGTGAGCTGGACAGTTATCCAGGCTTCCAGATAAGGCATTCTCACTAAGATCCCCGCAGTCCTGAGTCTGGTCCTCCTCCCACCATTTCTCTTGTTTCTTCATGCAGGGAGAACGGGGCATGCCAGGGATGCCGGGCAAGCATGGCACCAAGGTACCTCCCCTTCTCAGGACTTATCCCTCTCTCCCAAGCTCAGGAGACCCCTGGAGTCCCAGCTCCTTGGCCTCCGCCTTCCTACACTGGTCATCTCCCCAGCCACACTAGCCTGTCCTTCCAGGTGAGGGGGGGCACGTGTGTTGCCCATGCATGGTCTCATCAGTGCCCTCCTGATGTGGCCTCATGGTCACCTCTGGGTCATAAAAAGCCTTCTCAGGTAACCCCAGCTCCAGCTGCAGTCCTCAAATCCAAACAGAAAGTACTGACCCCTCAAAATCACTGCCACTTGGGACTTACTAAGCGGCACTTTGGGCAGCATATTCACCTCAAAGTAGCTGGTCTTGGGCTGATATTAAAATGGGATTTAGTCCCAGCCATTTCCAAGTGTGTGAGGGCAGAGGGTCAGAGAGCCACCTGTGAGGGGACTCCAGTTCCACACTCAGGGTGGCAGGTACTTGGTAAAATCAGCCCCTTCATGTCATCCACTGTGCTCCCCTCCCCAGGGCTCCATGTTCCTCCCTTTCCCCCTCCCATCTCCTCCCCCTTCCTCCATATTCCAATAAAGTCTTCCCAGAGACAGTCCCCTTGCCCCATCTAACAACCTGCAATCCCCACCTCACCTCCCAGTAAAGCCTGGAAGCTGAGCCTTGGGTGGAAAGTCCAGGGAGCCCTGCAAGCTGGTCTGCACAGAGCCAGTTCCTCAAGGCCACTGCCACTGTGCCCAGCTCAGTGCCCCCACTTCTAGCGGTGGGGGGAGGCAGTAGGCAGAAGTGAGCAGAAGGCTGGTCACTTCCCCTTACTGCCCTCTGCCCGCAGAAACTCTTCAGGTCTTTTCTTCTCTCTGCCAGGGGGCTCCGGGAATCGCCGTGGCTGGGATGAAGGTCAGTAGAACATAGTCAACATATCAGGGGCAGGAGGGGAGAGACTCCCTAAGGAGGACAGAGCTGGGAATTTGTGACTCAGTGGAGTGGCCACCAGACCAATGGGGGGGGGCAGGCAAGATTTGGAAATATTTTTCTTAAAGGAACGTTTATGCTGCACGCACAACCTTGAGCAGCAGAGGTTTAATGAGGCCTTGCAAATAAGCAGCAAAGGTTTCCCAGCCTCAACTGAAGGTCTCACTAGCTGGCCGTGGTACAAATGGAACCCAGATCTTTCCTTAACACTCTGGAATTGGGCCACTACACGCTTCCAAAGCTTCAGAGAGGAGAGCAGGAGTCCTTCTCATGAACCCCCGCCCTAACCATCCATTTGGTCAACAAGCAGATGGAGGGGGTTGGCTGGGAAAGCAAGTGCTCCGGCTTGATATTCACAGCAGGTCCACTTATAGAGGACACGATGTCCAAACTAAATGCCCTCCTTCCTCTCCTCCCTCTTGGGGTGCCTCAACTGCACTCACACCTGCTACACCCCTCCCCTAGGGGACTAACAGGACCCTTTAAGGTCAGCAACCCAGAAACCTCCTCTGTCCTGGTGCCTAACACCTGAGCAGAGAAAAGCTGGGGCAGGCCAGGTGTGACGCTGACTCCCCTCTCTGGCCCCAGTGCCTTTGCTCATTCTTTCCCACCCATTCTCTCACTCATTTGTTTACCTAAGTCTTCCTTTCTCCACACAGGGTGAGCCGGGGACCCCAGGAATCAAGGTACTGGTGCAGAGAGAACCTTCTAGTCTGCACAGAGCATCTGTTGTGGGGTACAGGTGGGAGGGGCTGCTGCTGATTTGCTGTTGGTCCCCTGAGGCTGGCTGGGGGCTGGGAACCTGGCTGAGCAAAGAAGGGCCTGCCTGTCAGGAGCACACTAAGAATGTCTTCCCCTTCCCTGGACCCTGGCCTGCATGGGTGCCACCTTCAGCAGGCAGTGACTGTTGTGCCCTGCACCTGAAGGGATTGCTTTCTCTCTTGTCTAGGACAATAAGAGATGTGATAGGAAAAAAGTTTCCGTGGTCAAATAAGTTTCAGAAATACTGGGTTAAAAATAGTATGCAGGTTTCTTTGCTGCAGACCTTCTCAGAGCCTTTAATGTGCTAAATGTGCATTGAGGAGCTCTCAAAAGGAAATCTCTTAGGCGACATTTCCAAAAACACCCTTTTTTAAAGAGGAGGAGCTTATGGGACAAATATTCTGGAAATGCTGATCTATAATCACTGCCCATCCCACCCTTACCGCCCCCCAACTCCAGCCTCTTATCAATGACTTTCTCTTCTTACCTCAAAGGGAGACTCAGGAGCAGCAGGGAAGCCAGGGCCCCCAGGTTTGCCGGGAAAGAGGGGGCAGAGGGTAGGACATCACGTATTTGAATGTGTGCCCCCTCATCCTGGCCTCTCTGGCGCCTACTCCCTGCCCCGCTTCCACAGCTGGTGTGTTGCCTGCAGTGTGCTGGGGGTGCATGTGTTCTGGGACAAGGAGGATGGTGGGGTGACCTGGCAAAGCCTCAGAAAGCCACACACACGAGAGCAAGTTGCCTGGCAGAGAGCCCAGCAGAGGAAGGATGCCACCCCTCCTGTCCCCCTCTGCCCCCACCCCCTGAAGAACTCTGTATTATGACAGGACCTGCATCCCATCCCTTTAGATCTGGCCTGTTTGGGGAGGATGCCCAGGAGCAGCCCAGATAAGGCAGTAGAGCAGGGCCTCCTCAGGACTCGTATCCTTCCTGCTGCCAGGGCCCCTGGCCAGCTTCGGAGCACTCTGCCATCAGCTTCCACCCAAGGGCAGGTGGCAAAGAGATGATACCCAAAGGCTTGGTGTGCTGTCTTTTGCGGCTGTGGCTAGAAAGTTCATGGAGACATCTGACCAGAGCCCTCCATTCATATTATCACATCTGAGAATTACTGTGTTCCTTGGGCCCATGGAGAGTGGAGCTTCCCATGCTGACCTGATGCTAACCCCTGCTGGTGGGGTGCTCTCAGAATACTGGGCATGCTGTGGGCTGAATGTGTGCCCCAATTCCTATGTTGAGGCTCTAACATCCGGCATGACTGTGTGTAGAGACAGGGCTTTGGGAAGTAATTACGGTTAAATTCAATCACACAGTGGAGTCCTAATGGCACCAGCTCCTAAGGACTGGTGGCCCCATAAGAAGAGAATCCTCTCTGTGCCACGTGAGGGTGCAGCCAGAGGGCAGTCGCCTGCAAGCCCAGGAGGGGCTCACCAGCACCCTGATCTGAGACTTCAGCCTCCAGAACTGTTAGAGAATAAACATTGAAGCCACCCAGACTATGATATTTTGTTACAGCCTCCCTGGCTAAGACTTGGTGAATGCAAAGGGAAGCCTTTGTCACAGGAGCCAGAACTTCAGAAGCCTGAGGGGCCCAGCCCATCTCTGCCAGGGACTCAGTGAGGGATCCTCCACAAACCATGGAACCTCTTGGGCCCCCCTGCTTGCTTGCTTCATGGTGAAATGAGAATGGGGTGCAAGTATCTCTAAGGGACTCTTTGTTTGATCCATGTCATGGGGATCTGCTTAGGGAGGTGTATTAATTTGCTAGTTGCCGAAAAAAGTACCACAGACTGGGTGGCCGGAACAGCAGAAATTCATTGTCTCCCAGTTCTTGGAAATCCAAATGCAAGGTGTTGGCAGGGTCGGCTCCTTCTGAGGGCTGTGAGAGAGAAGCCACTCCAGACCCCTCCCTGTCTCCTGGCGGTTGCTGGCAATCTTTGGCTTGGATTGTAGGAGCATCAGCCCAATCTCTGGTCCATCCTTACCCGCTGTTCTCCCGTGTGTGTGTGTCTATGTCCAAACTGCCCCCTTTTTATAAGGACACCAGCACACTGGATCAGGGGCCCTCCTACTCCAGTATGACCTCATCTTACATAATCACATCTGCCCTGACCCTATTTCCAAAGAAGCTCACATTCTGAGACACTGTTAGGACTTCAACATATGGATTTAGGGGAGACACAATTCAAGCTGTAACAGGAGAAAAATTTTTTCAAAACATTCCTACAAAGGAGAAGTTCTAGTTAGTGGGTTTTGTCCTCCCTGGAGGCAGGGAGGAGGAGGCAGAAGAGACTGATGGCCTCCCAGTTGCTGGACAGTAAGAATGTGAAGAAGAGCATAGTGGTTAAAAGGATGCACTCGTGCAAATATCCAGACCATGAACGGATGCCTTTAAATATCTTTGTAATTTTGCCCATAACACTACTATGATGTTATAAGATTTTACAACATAAAAAAATAAATAAATAAATTACATAATAAACACTGAGGAGCTCCTCCTAGAAGGAAGTGGAACCCTTCAGACACCCACCCAAGGAGGCATGAGCTGGGAGGCAAGGCCCTGAGCCGGTGGGGAGAAACAGTTCCTAACCCTCAGTGTCTGCGTCTCCTCTGCAGGGCGAGAAGGGGGCTGCGGGATCCCCTGGGCTGCCTGGCTTCCTGGGGCAGAAGGTAGGTATCCCTGGGTTCTGAATGGTGTAGCCTCGGGGTCCTTCCTCACCCACATCCCATTCCCAGCCCTGCACGTGCACACAGGTTCCAGCAGTAGACATGGCCCCTCTCCCAGAGCTGGAGGAAGGCAGCTGGAACACGGCCAGGGTCTGTTTGGGGTGGGGGTAGTGCCACAAGGCAGGGCCTAAATTCAAAGAACTCGGTAGCTATGACCTGGTCCAGTTTCTTTATACCAGCTCTGGAAATGCACCCCATAGTCCATGAGCTCTGTAAGAAGGTATTTCTTTGGAAAAAGGGCGGGGGGGTGTGAGATCAAATAAATCTGGAAAGAGAGGCATGAGACAGACTCCTTGGGAAGTCCCAGTGCACCTCTGCCTGTCAGAGGCCCTGAGCACCCAGCAGTGACAGGGTGCTTCTTAACACCCTGTGTTAAGTGACAGTGACAGTGACATTCTTAACACAGTTTGGCCACCACATTTGGAATATTCCCAACCCCTGAGGAGTACACCACAGAACAGACTTTGAGAAGCTCTGCTCCAGCCCCAGATCTTGATGGGTCCCTTGTTTTACCTGTAAACCTGTCCAGCCTCACTCAGCAAATGCTCCCTCCTCTCCTCAGATCCCATGGTCGGATGCGACCGGAGGGCTGGGGTTCTGAAGACCTCAGAGCCCACACACCCCTTATTGTCCCTCTACACTCAGCCTCGTTGGGGGTGGCCTCCTGCCTCCTCTCCTCGGAGCTATGGGGACAGAGTGCAGAAGGAAGGGATTCATTACCTTCTAGAGCCAGGGCAAGCCGCTGACAGTACCTCCACCTTCCACCCCCAGGGAGAGAAAGGCGATGCTGGCAACTCCATTGGAGGAGGCAGAGGGGAGCCCGGCCCCCCAGGGCTCCCTGGGCCCCCAGGACCAAAGGTGAGTCTCCCCTGGGGATCCGTGTCAAGGGAGATGTTTGCCTGTGGCCTTTACCTTCAACCTGTTCTCTAACCTTCTGCTCCAAATGTATGGGTTTTCTCAGTGGGTTCTAGAAAGGCCGTGTGGGCTCAGATCCTGCTTCCAAACAAGTAACTGTTTGACCTTCAGGAGAGATGTCTTCCCTGGGCAGACAGATGGTCCCATTGTCTCAGGAGACTATGATGTAACTCAGGGATCAATGGCTACTGGAATGTGATGACTGTGCCATAACTGAGTCAGGGGCTGACAACTGTAGGGCTTGGGACAGCCAGAAAGGCCTCCCTCCTGGGCTCTGGCTAGGCTGCAGGTGAGGGATCAGCGGGGCTCCACCTGGTACTGGCATACCTCGGGGGGTCTGGCAGAGGCAGGGCAGCTACAATGGGGCTACCTCCACTTTCCTTTCACTGGTTGGAAAGTACAATGGTAAGATTTAGGTTTCCCAAAGCAGATGCCTCCTGTGTTGCTTGTTTTATCTTAGCAGTGCAAGGAAATGCAGGTCTCTTTCTTAGCTTATAAGGAAAGTATGAATTACTCTACGTGATTGAGGCAATACACTCGTTCATTCCACCAGCATTTATCAAGGGCTATCATGGGCTAGGGCTCAGGGCAATGTGGCTGCAAAGAACCTGCCCTTGGTTTATTCACTATCTAGCCAAAGAAAAGAACCCACAATTAAGACAGGTACAGTGTAGGGACCCATAAGAACCCTGGAGGCAGGACAGATGGAGTAGTAGGAAAGGCCTTTAGCTAAGCCCCACCTGCCCACCTGACTGTGACTACAACAGAACTTCCCTGGCACAAGCACTAGTTTTGCCAAAGGCAGCCCTACCACCCAGCCTCCAGAATAGCCTAGCGCTGGAGACAACCACTAACCGCACAGGACACCGGTACCTAGTGTGTCTTGGACTTGACCTGGATTGGGGAAACTTGGACATTATAGTGCAAAATGAAGGGAAAGCCAGAAGGCTATGTCCCCAAACTTCCAGGTCCAGGCAAAATATTTAATAAACCAATTATTTGCAGTGGGCCTCCTGGGGCACCCTGCCCTGATGCCCAGCACCTTCCCAGGCAGGACCCAATGAGGTGCCTTCTCAAGTGTGCCAGGCTTCAAAATGACCTGCCTCTACACAGCCAGGACTGATGGCAACTCATAGTCCAGCTGAGGGCTGACAGAACTAGGCATATGTGTACTAACCAAGAGCAGAGGAGGGCCTGGCTGGGCAGAGTGGACTCCAGTGATTGGCATAGAATGTAGGGGAGGATGGGGAGAGCTTCCAGAGATGAGACCCAGGTTAGGCCCAGGGGTGGGTAGGGGTCAGACAGGTAGGATGGCACAAGGTAGTAGAAGCCAACCCAAAGACAACACCTGGAAGGTGAGCAGCACCCCCTTCTCTCCCTTTAAATGACTGTCCTAGCAGCCCTGCATGCTGTCATCCCATCACTCTTCTATCCCCAGGGAGAAGCAGGTATCGATGGCCAGGCTGGCCCCCCAGGACGGCAAGGAGACAAGGTACAGAGGCCCCCACAGCCCAGAGCTGCAGGATGAGGGTCAGTAGGGAAGTCAAGGTCCCCTCAGAGAAACAGTCTCAGACATACTAGGGCTGGACCCAGGGGCACAAAACCAGCGGGCCATGACCCCTGGCTTCCATCTTTCTTGATTGGCTTAAGTTTTAAAGCCGTGGTCCTCACCCACCAGACACAGACCAGTACTTGTCTCTGGCTCGTTGGGTAACAGGCTGCACAGCGGAGGTGAGCAGCGGCCAGACAGTGAAGCTTCATGTGTATTTACAACCACTCTCCACCCTCACGTCACCACCTGAGCTCCACCTCTCGTCAGATCAGCATGGGCATTAGATTCCCTTAGGAGTGAGAACCCTACTGTGAACTGCACATTTGAGGGATGTAGGTTGTGTGCTCTGATGTCTGAGGTGGGGCTGAGGCACTGATGCTGGCACTGGGGAGCGGCTGCAAATACAGATGACCACTAGCAGAGACATTTGACTGCAGAGACCATAATAAATCAACTGCTTGCAGACTCATATCTAAACCACCCCCCACCGTCCATGGAAAGTTTTCTTTTGAGACCAGTCCCTGGTGCTGGAAAGGTTGGGGACCACTGCTTTAGAGAGCTACCCACCCAGACAGAGTTGTGCAAAAGCCAGCCCTGAGATGGGACGCTTGGCTGGGGAGTGACGTGGAGCCTCCCAAGCCACTCCCTACCACTCGCATGCCCGTGGTAAAGGTGGGGACCTCACTTCCACCCAGTACTCCCCCTCTGGAAGGCTGGTGTGTCCCTCACAGGTAGACAGTGACTAAAAGGCTATGCGGGTGGAGGGAGAGTGCAGGTTGCCTGGAGGTGGTGATTTTTTTATTTAATTGTCTTCAATGTTAACATTATCCCAGGAAAGCTGGAACTACAGTTTGTTTTTCACAGTTTACGCCACTGTTTCATTTACTCCCTGGAGCTGTGTCCTATTTCCTACAGGAGACTGTCTCCACCCACCTGCTCTGGGAGGCTGGGTGTTCACATGCCTGTGTTCCTCTTAATACCTTGACAGGCCCCCCACATTTCGTCCAGCAGTTTGGGTCTTTCCCATGCAGTGGGGGCCCTTGAGACCACACGGGCTCTGCATGGAGGGGTCCTTATCAATCACCCAGGCAATTGGTGCAGAGTTGCTGAGCCCTTAATATAGGAGCAGAACGGAAATAAAGAGAAGGAACTTAGGGGACTGGGGAGAGGTGGCCAGAGGGACAAAGAGAAGTCACTAACAATGAATGCAGTGCAGAAAGTATCACTGACTGTGAGGTGGGAGGTGGGAGGGAACCCTGAGAACTGAGAGGGACAGAGCATGTGCAGGTGCTTAGGAGATATTTCCAGAAAGCTCAGGGCCTGCACTTCACTGGGCACTGAGGTCTGTGTCTTGCTGGCCTGAGCTAAGATGAGCCTGATGTGTGGCTCCATTTGGGGACATCAGTCCTCTGTACCAGCTTTATCCATGTTTCACTCCAATTTCGTCATGCAACAGGGGGAGCCTGGAGCAGCTGGAGAACAGGGACCAGCTGGCCCCAAGGTATGCCTGAAGTCACAGCATGAAGCAGCTTGACCTTGGGGTTTGGAGGAGGGAGGGGAAAGCATTCTGGCCCCAGGTAAGACATCTGCATGGCAGAGTGAGGGACTTAATCTCCTCCAGGTCTGTCTAGTCTAGACTTCCCAAATGGAGTCTTGTCTATTTATTCTGCATCCTCTGAGTGTCCATCCTTTGAGAGTGGTTGGAAATCCCTCCGGGCCCCCTCCATCTTCTCTGGGTCCACTTGGGAGCAGTCGGGTGCAGTCAGTGTTGGCTGCGGTCCCACCTGATGGAGAACAGGCAGCAGTTGCCCTCAGGTCCCTTGTGGTCCAGGCCCTAGGCTGAGCTCTCATTTGCCTTCTAGGGCTCCAAGGGAGAACCAGGGAAAGGAGAGATGGTGGATTACAACGGGAACATCAACGAGGCACTTCAGGTGAGAGAGGCTGGTGATGTGGAGGTCCTCAGGGACCTTGGGACACCACAGCTCTGATGCAGGAAATCTTTCACACTGCCCGGTAGTGGCCCTGCCCTCGGGCCCTTGGGCAAAGCTTTCAGGAGAGAGTCACTCCTTGCTTTCTGTCCTTGGGCCTCCCACCGTGCATCTTCCTAGCCAATGACACCCCTTATCAGACACCCAGGTGACAGTGCTCCTGTGGAGACACCCTGGCATACCACAGGGTGCTGGCCCATCCAGGGTCCAGGCCTCCATTTCTCAGGGCATGTCTCCCCCTTCACACGGTGGCATCTGTCTTCCTGGATTGCATCTCCCTTTTGTGCCAATTTATTCCTATTTCAAGTTCATAAGCTCCCTGCTCTTTACAGTAGGGTTTCCCAGCCTTGGGACCTTTGGCACACCACACAGGGTAGCCCTTGTTGTAGGAGAGGGATGCTGGGTGTCGTCGGCTGTTTAGCAGCATTCTGGTCTCCACCCACTAGGGGCCAGTAGTGCCCTACCCTCAGTTGTCACAACCAAAATATGTCTCCAGACTGACCAAAGTCCCCTGGAGAACATAATTGCCCCATGTGGAGAGCCACTCCTTCAGAGGAGGCTGTGTATGCAGGTAGATCCATTTGCAAGATGTAAAATTCTCTTAAAGCCAACAATCATCCCTCCCATCTATTTCTGACCGGTTCTGTATCTCATTCTACAGCGTCTGTTTAAAGGGAATCCATTGAACCTTGAAATCTGGGTACTGGGAGAAGAGGAAAGAACCAGGGAGTGTCCTTAGAATTCTCTCCTCCTTTGGTAAAACTGAGTCCACTGTAGGGATATCTGAGATGATTGCAGGACAGCCTCCATTGTGTTATTGGCTTAGGAGATGTTGTCCGTTCTCTGTCCAGTGATTACAAACCTGTGGGAGAAGTGGGGCTGGGTGGGGCTGGAAGCCACAGAGCCCCCCTGGGAGGGTCTGCCTCCATCTGTACTCCCTTGGGAGGCCCAGCTCCCACGTTTGCATGACCAGACAGAGAGGATGGATCTTGGTTTGCGCTTCAGCTAATTGCATGGTGTTGGTTTTCTAGGAGATCCGAACGCTGGCCTTGATGGTAAGTCTTCCTGCTTCTCTCCTTCCCCAGGCACTGTGCTGGGGGCTGGGAGGGCAGCCTAGATGCAAGTACTTGGCCGTGGATTAGGGTTGACCCAGCAGTGCTAGGGCAGAGGGCGATCAGAGCCTAAGGTCCAGGCTGAGGTTGGTGGGTGGGCCTTGGGAGCTGCTTGTGCCCTGGGTCCTGACTGTCCTCTGGGTGAGGGCTCTTCATCCACATAGCTGTGCGCTCTGTGACAATATCAATGCCAGGTTCTCTTTACAGCTATGTCAGGGAAACAGCAGGAGCAAGGGGGGTGTTTTGATGTTTCTCTTTTTTCTCAACCCTCAGCTAATAAGATCCATTAACCTGAAAAATTAGCAGCTACCCTCCACATTCCCTCTCTTCCTGGAAATCAGTGTCATTACCTACACTTGGAAAACCAGTGAATTCCAAGCCTGAGTTTTGCACATGTACCTACTGGTGACAGGCCCTCAGTAAACATTTGCCGTTAAAATGACCACCACCCATTGTCACTTCCAAGGTGGAGAGGGGAGGAGAGATCACAGAGATCACAAAGTTCTCAGAGGACTGGAATTTCAATTCACCCAATATTTCTTCCTGCCTGTGTGCAGAAAGAACACACTCAGGCATGACACAAGCTCAGAATCAAGCACCCCTCCTATGACATCCCAGGTTCAGAAACTGATGTCAACAATGAGATTCTGCAATCAATGAGCTTCATTGATATTATTTGAAATAGCTACTTCTAAGAAATAAAACCTTCTTAGAAACATTTTCTTCTTTTAAAATCAACCTTGAAGTATAATGTTCACACAATAAAAGGTATACTTTTGATGTATAGAGGTAGGTAAGTTTTGACAAATGTATATACTCATGTCTCATCACCCTAGTCACTCCAGAAAGTTCCCTCCTTCCCTTAGGAGGGCTCCCACACCTACCTTCAGCCCCAGGCCACCAGCGACCTTTCTGTCACTGTAAACTAGATGAAACTTCCTGGAGTTTCATCTGATGAATCCCATAGAGTATGGAGTTGCCTGTGTCTGGCTGCTTCTGCCCAGCGACTGTGAGACTCGTCTGAGTCATTGCATTCACCAGCACTTGGTTCTTTCTTCCCTGCTGGGTAATATTCCATTGAATGGATGTACCACATGTACTCACCTATTGATAGACATTTGGGCTGTTTCCAGGGAACATTTTTAAGTTATCTTCCAGGAAAGTCAGATTTATCTTCTCAGAGCCCAAGGAGCCCCCAGGGTGCCCTAGGGAAAAGAGGAGGGAGAGGTTGTTGGGCATAGATTTCAGAGCCCCACCCCCATTTCAACCCAGACACACTTGGTGGTTATCTGTCTTGCATTTTGGGGTTCCCCCTGTCATTTCTTTTGCAAAAGAAGGGTTTCTACCACCGAAGAAATATCTGAAAACAACTGAGCCCTACAAGCCAGCCTCCAGGCACAGCCCCCTCTGGACATAGGCCACCCCTTCTCAGTGGAAAAGTCTTAGATGCATCTTTCCTTTCCTTCCTAGGGCCCTCCTGGTCTTCCTGGGCAAATTGGACCACCCGGACCTCCAGGCCAGAAGGTAAAACTTGTTCTGCTAAGAGGGGTATGAAGACCCTGCAAGGGCACCATGTGTGTTCCTGAGCAATCAGCCCTAGGACCACGCCCATCCTATGACCCTTTCCTCTTCCCAGAGCTGCCACCACACCCTCCCAGTGCTCTAAAGCACTGGGGTCCTGCCTGCCCACACCACAGCCACTGTGGCTCTGCCATTCTCCCTGACTCATCTGTCTTAGGCTCCAGACTCCCCTCTGATGTGGTGGGGCCTGGGTCCAGACACACCCCTGCCCCATCCCTACCCCAACCAGACCCACATCTGGGACCCAAGCTGTCCATCAGAGACAGCAGCATTTGAGGCCCTCCCAGTCTCACCCTCCCTCACTCCCTGCCTTTGCTTGCCTTTTATACTCCTCCCATCCACCCGTGTCTTTTCTCAGGTTTGCCCTCTGTCTCGTGTCTGCCCCTCTGCACTGCAAGTTTCTCCCTCTTCTTATCTTCCAAACCATTCTCACCTTTCAAGCCCAACTCCAAAGCCACCTCGTCTTCAATCCTCCCCGATCTGTCAGGCTGACTTCACTGCCCTTCCCCTCTGCTCCTGTTGGTAGCACCCACCTATCATTTGGCCACACCTCCCTTACCTCCCTCCCCGACTTGTGAAGATGACGGGAGCTTCTGAGGGGCAGCCAGGACAGAATGGCAAGGTGGGGGTTGGAGGAGACAGGGAGGGAGAACTTTGCCCCCCAGTGGAGCCATGGGGGGAGGGCTAAGGCTCCCAAGGGTGGCAGGTGAGGTTATAAACATAGATCATGGAGCCAGCATGCCCACACTTAGATCCTGACTCCCACTAACTGTGGCCTTGGGCACAAAACTCTGTGCTTTGGGGATCTGATCGGTAAAATAGGCAATCCAAATATGTACCTCCCAGGAATGCGGTGAGAATTAAATGAGCAAACTCTAGGGGAAAGTGCAGAGAGGGATGCCTGGCACACTGAGCCTGGGTAACTGACAATTACCATTATCTCTGCCCTGAGAGTCACCATCCCTTGTTCTGGCTACAGGGGGAGATTGGACTGCCAGGCCCTCCAGGACACGATGGGGAAAAGGTACAGACAGACATCCTACAGACAAACCCCTGAAAATAGTCCTCACCCTGGGGTGTGGGTGATGGGAGGAAGGTTCAGGAACAGGCCCTGCCATGAGCCCTGTGGGGAAGGGGCAAGGGAGGGCTGGGAAGAGGGCGGCATCATAGACCCCAGAAGCCAGGCTGACCCAGGCAAGACCCAAGAGCCATGTCCTTTGGGCCTCCCAATCTTCTGCTCTCTCTCCCTCACTCCTTTCTTCTCCATTAGTGTGTCTAAGGAGTGTTATTGGTTATTCCAAAGGGACCTCGAGGCAAACCAGGAGACATGGGCCCCCCTGGTCCCCAAGGCCCCCCAGGAAAGGAGGGCCCTCCAGGAATGAAGGGAGAAAGCGGGCACTCAGGAGAGAAGGGAGAGAAAGGGGATGCTGGAGACACAGGCTCGCCGGTGAGTCCCCCTCAAGCATGACGCTGGCTTGTATGGCCTTGCATGGTGCCAGCTGATGCCTAGGCTAGAAACCTGGGGCCAGGGATGGGGTGCAGGGGTTCACTCAGTTTCCCCTCCAGCCACTCAGGAAGGCCAGTTTTGACTCACAAGACCTGAGTCCTATTCTGTCATTGCCTGTCTGTGTCCTTGAGAAAGTCACTGAGCTTTGTGGATCCTCAGTTCCTTCATCTCTAAAATGGGGATACTTCACTGGACTGTAGAGAAAGAGATGAAGTCATGGGTGTAAAACTGCTTCTTTGGAAAGCATCCAGAAGTCCTACACCCAGATGAAGTTGCATGCACAAAAACGGGGCCTTAACCCAGGCCAGTGAGGCTGCTGACTTGACTTGAGAACCTTCTCTGGACCTCAGTGGTTTCCATCTGTAAAATGGGCACCATCCTGAAGCAAGGGAGCCACGTGTGCATGCCACAGTTGCCGTCATGCTTGGCATGATGACCTTGAGCTTGACTAACAGAGATCTTTGTCGATCTGTAGGGTCTAGACGGCCCAACTGGGGAGAAAGGAGAACCAGGTGGCCAAGGCAGACCCGGAGCGACAGGATTGCCTGGCCCAATTGGGCTCCCGGGATTTACAGTAAGGCGAGAGGGCTGGGTGTCAAGGTTGTCAGCAGGTGGCTCCCTAGAGCCACCAGCCTAGCAGGTGCCTGGCTGGGCAACAAGCCTGCACTAACCCAGAGCCTGCCTGCCTGTCCAGCCTGGAGTCCTTTGGATGAGCAGCTGCTGCATTTGAGTGCAAACTAGGGGCCCAGCTTCCTCAGCTCACATCACGGCGGCCTCTGTCTTAGCTGTTAGAATCTTCAACTCAGAATTATCCTCTTAGAAGTGGAGAGAGCCTAAGAGGTCAACAAGTTCCCAATCTGACCCAGTGCAGGAATCCCTTACCAGCCAGACAGGCAGGCAGCTCACAGCCTCCTGATGTGTCTTCCTTGTCACAGAGCAGCTCCAGAATGGAGGCGGCACCTTCACCACCCTCCCCATGTTGACTTCTCAGAGGCTCAGCCTCTGGAGCCATAGTCTTTTTCTATTGCTGCATAACCAATCACTGCAAAGTTAGTGGCTTAAAACAACATCCATTTAAAGCCACATAGCTTCTGTGGGTCAGCAGTTCAGGCACATTGTGGCTGGGTCCCCCACAAAGGGGGCAGGTCTCACAAAGCTGCAGTTAAGGTCCCAATCAGCTGCACTCACACCTGGAGCTGGGGTTCCCTTCCAAGCCCCCTGGATGTTGGCAGAATTCAGCTCCCAACTATAGCAGGGCTGAGCCCTCCAGCCCCTAGGGGTCATCCACAGTTCCCTGCCATGTGGCCCTCCCTCTAGGAGGCAGCTTACATGACAGCAGCTGGCTTCTTCAAGGCCAAGACCATCAGGGAGTCTCTCTAATATCTCATGCTGGCAAGACAGAGCCGTGTGTTGTAATACATAACATAATCACAGGAGTGGCATCCCATCACCTTTGCCATATGCCCCACTCTGTGGCTTAGAAACCAGTCACAGATCCACCCTATGGTCTGTCCACTGCAGAGCCCATACAGACTGTCAGCCTCTTCTCCCACCTGCTAGAACCTCAGACTCCTGAAGACAGTGATGATAGCCCCTGGATAGGTCTTCTGTCCTTTGGGCTGATCTCTTCCATATCCTCCATGGGGTTTCTTGCTGACACCTAGACCAGCAGAGTCCCAGTCTAGTTTGTCAGAGATGTGAGGTTATATCTGTGTCCAGGCTTCCCCAGGGACTGGCAATCACATCGGTGTTTTGTGTCCACAGGGAGAGAAGGGAGAACCTGGGGAGAAAGGTGACCCAGGAACAGAGGTAGGTCCCACCTGCTCTTCCTGTTATGTCATGGGAGATTATTTGACAGAGAGCCTCATCAAATGACAGTCTTTCCAGGGAGCGTGGCATTTCTGTGATTTAGAATGAAACACATAACCACCTAACACAAGAGGGGCAGGAACCTGAATGTTCACTGAGCACTACAGCAGGGCAGGCACTGAGCCTGAAGGCTGCTCTAGTCTCCCCATTAACCACGTCTCTCAGCAGCCTTCACAGACAGCCTCTGTGCATCAGTCCTGGCAGTGGCGTTTGGAGGCAGGAAAATAGAGACATTCCTCTGTGTTCATATTCCCCAGTAACAGACACTGGAGTGGCAGCAACTTCAGGAAATCAGGCGAGCATCCCCAAAGATGTGCCATTTGGGTAGGGTCTTGATGAGTTTATAGGAGTTTTCTGCCAAGCTTCAGAAGTGGGCTTTCCAGATAGAAGCCTTATTTGTTTGAGAAGTGTGGTAGACAAAGGAAGAGGGAACAGCTGAATGAGAAACCATCAGGATGGAGGCAGTGTTTTCATGAGATGGGAGAGAATCAGGCATACTCATGGGCTCAGAGGGAAGCAGTGGGGAGGCAACAGAGATCCAGGACATGTGAGGAAGAGGATGTTTGATGGCAAGGCCTGTGCAACCCACATACCACTTCAGAGCTGCAAGAGAGAACAGCAGGCCTTCCCATCACCCTTTTGCAAGGTCTCCTGGCCCCATCACCCTTCAATGTTGCTAAGCCCCATTTGAATTTAGTGAAATAGACTAGATTATATAATGTGTGTATTATTCATTTAGAAATGGATGGCCTCTTAAAGAAATGATCCTTAATCCAGCAAAAGCTTTATACACAAAAATGTTCCTCCCAGAATTACTTAAAGTAAAAATTGAAAACACCTAACATTTCTAACAAGAAGGAAAGGATTAAATAATTTATAAGAATAGTACCAGTAGTAATAATAGTCACCATGTCTGAGAGCTATCCTTGTGCCAAGCACTGCACTGAGCCCTGGCTACATAATAACTCAGCATATCACCATGACAAGGAGGCTTGTGAGGAGCATATAAAAATGGAAAAATGGATTTCATATTAAGTGAAAACTAGCAGAAACCAATTTTATACATACAAGGTCCATCAATGAAGTTTGTGAACGTATCCTAAAAAAAGTGCTACACACCTTATTGCTGAATATCACTATGGTCACCTTTGAAGTACTTCCTTTGGGAAGCTATGCAATAATGCCTACTCCACCCTTAAAAGCAATTTTGAAATTCTTTTTCTGGCATGACTATCAGAGCTTGTCATATTACCTTTAAGGTCCTGAATGTTGTCAAAATGTCTCCCCTTCAATATTTTCTTTATTTGAGGGTAAAGAAAAAAGTCAATGGGGACCATATTAGGTGAGTAGGGAGGGTCTTCCAATGCAGTTATTTTTTCACTAGCTAAAAACTCTCTCACAGACAATGCCATGTAAGCTGGTGCACTGTCATGATGCAAGAGCCACGAGTTGTTGGCGAAAGATTCATGTTGTTTTCATCTAACCTTCAGCACTTCAGAATACTAAACTTGATTAACTGTCAAGTTGGAACAAATTCCTAATGAACAATCCCTCTGATATCAAAAAAAGTTAGCAACATCATTTTGACTCTTGATTTGGACCGATGGAATTTTTTTGGTCGTGGAGAATGGGCTGAATTCCATTGTCCACTCTGACTCCTTGAGGGTCATATTGGTTTACCCAAGTTTCATCACCAGTGATAACACAGCCCAAAACATCATCTTTCCTCTCCAAAAGGTCTTGGCAAACTTCAGTTTTCCTTTACTTTTTATTCAGTGAGCTCCTTTGGCACACTTTTACACATACCTTTCTCATCCCAAGACTTTCAGTCAAATTTTTTCTAACTGTTGCTCTATTGATATTTACTTGGTCTGCTATGCTTCTAACGATCAGCTGGTGATTATGATGCACACGTCGACAAATTCTTGCAATGTTTTTGTCAGTTCTGCTCATTACTAGCCACCCAAACCTCTCTTCATCAGTGATGCTTTCTCTCCCCCCAGAAAAACATACAATCCATGTGTACACTGCCATTTCCTCCGTGGCATTATCCCCATAAACTTAAACTAACATGTTCCTGATTTGACTGCCACTCTTGCCAACTTTAACAAGAAATTTAATGGTTGTTCATTGCTCTAATTCAAGATCTGACATTCTTGCAACAGCACACAAAAACACACAACAATAACAAACGCGACTTAGAAAGACACCCCACATTGATATGAACACAGCTGTGATATACCAAAGTTATGAAACTTATTGAGTTGTTTGTAAGCACACAGTGGCAAGTTCTCAAACTTAATTGTCAGACTTCACATGTTCAAATACACTCTATGCCGCAAAGAGTGCTTAAATATTTTAAACTTTTTTATTGTTAAAATTATCAGACAGATAAAATTGACTTCTTGGGGAGTGTGTACAATTTTGTGAATTTTAATACATATATAGATTTGTATAACTACTACCATGATCAAGATGCATGATTACTTATTTATTATAGGATTAAAATGCAATAAAATGTTTTTACCAGAATAGAGTTTCCAAAGACTATTATAGAGCTGAAAAGTCTACAAGTCTGGAGACATTAGGATCCACCTACCTGCCCACTATAGGGGGCTCCCTTTGTGATGGCCTGGCAGAGGAGCCATTGCCCTGGCCCCATTCCGGAGGATTCTACCCTGGGACAGTAAGGCACCTGAGAAGAGCCCTGAAGCTGAGGTGGGCTGGCTAGCTCAGAGAGGAGCAGGCAGTGGCGATCAATCAGAGACAGACTCTTTTATGGGTACCATCTCCCATGGAGCAGATAGCCCTGGGCTTTCCCATCTTCACTGTCCAGTCAAAATCTCTTCTACTACAATCTGTCTTCAAGGAAATTACCTCAGCAGTCTCCATCCTATCTGTTATAAACCTGGGGGGACTTGAGGGAGATTCTTCAAAAACATTTCATTCCACACTCTCCTATTTCAGATAACCATTCTCCACTCCTTGAAGCCCAGGTTCTCAAACTCAAGTGTCTACAAGGGCCAGACACGAAACAAATGACTACAAAAAACTGAGTTAGAGACAACAGGGAGTGGTGGGGACTGGGATAAACGGAAGATCTCCTGCACCACCTTGAGGCAATTGTTTCTAGGCATGAACAAGAGCCTAGTTTGCTAAATCTTTTTGGCTTTTCAAGAAAATCTGGAAGAATAGATGTTTGGGGTACATTTCCTGGCAATTTTTTTTTTCAATTTTGAGCAGACCAGGCCAATGGGTTGCTGTGAGCTTTTGACATATTCTAAATCTTTTAGGGGAGAGACTTTGTTGGACAGTCCTGTCCTCCCCTGGCCTACAGTCCCCAGCTGGACCCTAGGCCACATCAGGAGGCCAGGCCACTTCAAGTATAACAGGGCTCCCCTTTGGGTTCTAGGTTTCTGGGCCACCAGGGCCAGAGGGGCCTCCCGGACCTCCGGTAAGTTTGAAGTGCTTGTGATCAGTCCACTGTGGGCAGGTCCCTAACATCTCCTCCCCTTGGTGGTCACTGGGCTCAACCTCAGCCTTAGTTGATATTACTTCTTTCTCCCAAGGAGAGATTTTCTTGTCCAGCCCCCCTCCCCTTCTCCCTTCCCATGCCATCCCAGTGACACTGAGGAGCTCAGGCCTTGCCTGGTTCCTTGGAAACAGCTGACTGGCATGGCAGCCCCTTTGTCACTAAGCTCTGCCCAACATTTATTTCACTCTTTGCCATCAGACATCTCCCCTTCCTTCCTTCTGCTAAACGGCTGGCAAGAAGAGCAGTGTTAAAATAGAAAATGCCCTTCTAAGCCAGCCCCATTGAATCGGCCTTGGTTACAAAAACATAACTGTGGGATCCCTCTGCATGATATCTCGAAGGCCCCTGAGCTGACAGATGCTGAACCATACCTCTGCTTGGTTCATGGTCCCCAAGGCACTGAGTGTCACCTGTTGTCATTGGTAGAAATAGTTAGCAATAATGATAGTAGCCAATATTTATTGAAGCTTACTAGGTGCCAGACACAGTTCTAAGTGCTTTGCATATATTAATTTAACTATTGCTGAATTGCCTCTGAATCTTCCCTTCCTGAGACTCTGGGTCGATCATAGGGCCATAGGGAGTTCTTCTTTCAGCCCCTGGCTAGGGAAGATTGGTTCAGACTGTACCCTAGGAAGCCTCATAGGTGAAACTTTGAATTCCCTTCTACCTCTCATGGGCAGGAACCTCAGACCATATTCTGCACCCAAAGCCCTTGCTCTTCTGCAGTCCTACTTGTGGGCGAGGAAGTTAACTAAATACAACTCTAATGCATCTTGTTTTGATTCCAAATGCAGGGGCTCCAAGGTGTTCCCGGACCAAAGGTAAGATGAGGTCACATGATAGGTGGGGAGAGGGCTGCATCCGGGACAGCAGAAAAGAGGGCAAGAGCATCAAAGCCCAGCTGACTCTTGTCCCTAAGTGGCTTCATGTACCACTCCAGCCCATGGGGTACAATCAGGGCAGAATGAAGTTTTACATTTCCTTTACCATCCACCATTGGTAGCTGGCATGCTTTGGATTCAGAATGCCCCCATCCATCAGGTGACCCCATGAAGTGACAGATTAGATTTGTAGCAGACAGAGAAATCCTTTTCCCATCAAACCTGACCCAGGCCCTTCTTCACTCACCTTGAGTATAGGTGGGAGGAGACAGTGACATAACATGGATCCCCCCAGGCCCAAGCCCACTGGACTCTGGACTGGGGCTTCCCCATGTCCCCCCAAGCATTGCAAATAAATAAGGGGGCTGGAAGCTGCTGGCATGATAAAGGCCCTTGCCTCCTGCCCTGGCATTCTTCAAGGGACTTTGGGGCAGTTTCTTCTTCCCACCTGCTTGTGACCTTCAGAGCTCTTGTGGCAGCATTTGAAGCATCTGCCAGCAAATTTCTGCAAGGTTCCAGTTTCTCTGCCATGCAAATAGGTACTGGACCAAAAGCCCTACCTACCTATGGGTTTATCCTCACTTCACCTGCCCCTTTTCCTTTTGAGGCCCTCACAATTACTGCACAGATACAGGGTACATTAACTGAGACAGAGGCTGGCTAAGCATTTAGGGATTCTTTGAGTCTCCTGCCTATCACGCCTTGCCCACCCACCTCCAACTCTTTCCTCTTCTATAAAGCCCAACCATGTCTCCAGGACCCAGAGTGTAAGAATGTGTTGCCTAGGATGTGCCCTTCTGTGATCTCATCCTGTCTCCCTTTCCTCCAGGGCGAAGCAGGGCTGGATGGAGTGAAAGGAGAAAAGGGTGTCCAGGGAGAAAAAGGAGACCGAGGGCCCCTGGGACTACCTGTAAGTACCAGACCCAGCAAGACTGGTGGGGAGCCCAGCTGGGAACCCTGATGGGTGAGGGATTCTGGGCCGAACCCAGGAGAGGCCACTGGAAACATCAAGGTTCCCAAATCTAAGCATTCCAGAGCTCCATGCAGCTTTGCTTTCCCACCCGGGCAAGACCTAGGCTCTAACTCTCTTCCTGAGGGTCCCCTCCATGCCACGCCCTGCCTTGATATGGGGGAGTGCGAAGCTGAATAAGGCAGCACCCAGCAGGAGAGCCAGAAGTGACAGGAGATGCCTTAGTCAGAGGCAATAAAGCCTGCTGCCCTCCTGGGGGCTGAGCTTGGAGAGCTTGGAAACAGTGAGATAATGAAATATTCTCTATACTCCTGTTCTTCCAGGTGAACCACAAGAGAAGCCCTGCTTTCTCCTCTTAAGCACTGGCCACAGCAGGAAAGCATGCAAAAAAGTCAGATTCTGGGGTCCCCATAGGACCATAGGGCTCCTGGAGATTTCTGATCTGTCTTTCCAGATTTAGAAGCCCCAGGTTAGAGGCGGAGAGCTGCTCAGATAGCACTCACTTTTCTTGATATGGGGCTGGGAGAGTCCTTTGCTCCAAGCCCCAGTGCTTCCTCACCTGTGTCCAGGTGAGCCCATCCCACCACACATCCTGGAGCCCAGCCCCATATCCCCCACACCATACTGAGGTAGATGCCCTTTTGCTTTGTTTTTCAAGAACTGGAAGGGACATTAAGGATCCATCTCATCATTTCAGAGAAGAAAGTGAGTCACTTGAGGTCACATATAAAGTTGGTAGCCAGGCCAGAGGCTGCTCCTCCACTGAAGACACAACCTTGCTAAAGGACTCTTTCCAGCCACCTGGACTTCTTTTGTCCTAGGCTGGAGGCCAGTTCTCACCCCAGGTAGCCATAAAGAGCAGGGGACAATGGAAAGCCCAATTACTACAGCTTGGCAGAGCTTGAAGATCTGGTTAATGTAACCACAGCAACCAGCAGCAATGCTAAAGGTATCATCACACCCTTATTAATGCTTCAGATGTAGGAATATTTAAGAAGCTGATTCACTTGACAGACCACAGAAAACTGATGACTTTAGCAGACATTTTCCCATGTCTTAAGCTGTGTCTGGAATGATTAAGCACTTCTACCAATTAAAGAGCCTTCCTGCCCCCACAGGACCACAAATCTTTCCTTGTCTACATTCATGGCCCCAACAATCCTGGTGAACATCAGAGAATTCAGTGAGTGGTTGAAATGCAAATGGCACAGAGACAAAGAAAGTACCAGATAAAAAGCCAAGAACCCAGTCTATCATGGGTACAAAGAAATACCTTTTCTACCTTAAGAAAACAACAGAATTAGCATATTCATAGCAGGCAACTAACATGGACTTGAGGGAGACAGGAGGGAGTGGTGAAGACTATGGTCTAAAGACCATGTATCCCTTCTTAGGGAGAGTGGCCCTTTCTCAACTCAGATAACTGTTGCCTTAGATGCAGTGGTTCTCAACCTTCCTAATGCTGCAACCCTTTAATACTATTCTTGTGGGTTGCTGGAGAACTGCTGCCTTAGAGGAAGGAGGGTTCAGTATTTCCGGATGTTCCAATCTTTCAAAGGAAGTTGAACATCTGGTGTTTTATGTGAAATCTCTGCATTTTCTAACATTAGATCAAAATGATTTGTGATAGTCAGACCATACGGAATATGTCAGTGGCCCACATATGGCCTGAATGCCTCTAATTTGTGCCTTCTGCTCCAGACCTCTCCAGACAACTTAGTTTTAATGCTGTATAGCTACAGTTCTGTTTTGAGGCTTCACTGGGTGTTTTAGTCACACAGTAGCAGCCTGGTTTTCCAGGCCTATCCTTGGGGAGTGGTTCTGAACACTGGCTGCACACTGGCATCGCCACTGCCTGGGCCCCACTCTTGGAGAGCGATTGAATTGGGCTGGGTGGGGCCTGGGCAACTGTACTATTTACGATCACCCCAGAAGATTCTAATATGCAGCCAGGGTTTGAGAACCACAGCTCTCTAGCCTAGTGAGTCAAGTTCAGTCCCAGAATCATGTGGTCCTAAAATGGGAAAGGCGGCTATAGAATCCTTCTACCTAACATCTTTTCCCTGCGAGGAAGCAGCAACTTGTCCCTTTTGTAGGGACTTTCCCCACCTTGGAAATCCTAAGGCTGAAGCCCAGTTTTCAAGGCCTCAGTCCTTACAGGGCGAGGCATCCCCATTGCCTTCTCCCTGATTTGTCATATGAAACTCATTAGAAAAATTTCCCCCTGGTTCCCCCAGGTAGGTTTCAGAGACAGTTTCATAACCCAGCCCTGGAGGAAGAGCACTGCCCCCCCCCCACCCCCGTGCATACTGGACAGTGAGGAGGGAGGGCTCTAGAGAGCGAGTGGGTCTGAATAGTTCCCCTCCTGCTGCCAGGTTGCTGCAGGGGACACACGGCCTGAGACCTCTGTCTTAGCTGCCTCCGAAGCCTTATTCTAATAGGCTAATATGTTTGGGAACATATGAGTGAACTGAGTTCAGGCTGAGCTTTGCAGACTCTGAAATAAATGCCAGAAAATTGCCGGGCATCATTAGTATTATCATTCATGGGCTGACTCCTCCCCCATAGCTGAAGTAGAAATAGTCCAGATTCTACCCAGATTTCAAAACCATGTGCCATCACCCAGGCCTGAGCCCTTTGTGGAAGGAGGGCAGGATGGCCTGCCCTAACAGGGGTGCAAAGAGACTGGAGGACCACCCTCACCGGGGCCCTCCACATAAGCACGGCCCCAGCAAAACCCATTCTGAGAAGGGTACATAGCTCTGCTTCCAAGGCATCACCCCCTGAATTCCTTTCTGCATCCCTTTCCCCAGAGCGCTGGGCAAAAGGGCTCTGAGAGGGGATAAAAGGAGAGAGGGGAGCAGGGGTGTGGAGGAACAGAGTGGCCATCAGCACCAGCCCCTGCCCGGCCTGCAGTAGTCGGCCACTGCACTGAGTGTCTCCATGTTTTTGTTGGTTTCCATGTGAATACCACTCCCTGTCCTCCCAAGCTTATTTCTCCCATTGTGTTTGATTACCAGCATTCGTGTCTGTCCAGAGTCACTGCTTTACTCACCTCTTCCCTCCCCATTGTTCCCTTTTTCTCCCTCCCATTCCTCTCTTCCCCTTCTTTTGGTCAAACTGTACCCTTCGTCCAGGGAGCTTCAGGTTTGGACGGCAGGCCTGGGCCACCGGTGAGTCACTTCTGCAATACCCCTCACCTGCCCCACCCCGTGCCCAGCCTGTGATCCCTCTTGTCTGCCCTGCTGTGGCCTCATTTCCCCAGTAGTCCTGCCTTGTCTCACCACCGACACCAGAACAGTGCCTTGGGACCACATGTGGCCTTCTAGATCCTTGAGTGCAGCCTTCTGACTGAATCCAGTTTTTACAGAACGAATCCTTTCGATAAAAGGCTTTGTTATTTGAAGTTTGGATTCAGTCAAATGGCCATACCTGTGGCCTTGAGGCTGCAGGTTCCGCATCCCTGTATGCTCTGTTCAGAAGTGTTTTTTCAGGCCTCTTCAATAAAGAAGCTGGCCTCTATCTGAATTCCTCTGTCCATAGTACGCACCCAGGGGCTCAAATCTGCCAGGTGTGGGATAGGAGGCCCCTCCAGCACCACTGGCCCTCATGCTGAAGGCATGCAGAGTCCAGCCTGGGTGCCAGCCCTGGGGGTTGGGGCCGTGACTGTCCCTGCCAAATGCAACAGTGTCTGTGTGTGCCCGTCATGCTGTGTTGTCTCCATGCTCTGAACTCTGTCCATCTCCTGTCTGCCCACGAGGCTTCCTAGTCCTGTGCAGCTGGCAGTCTGGTATGTGTGGGGTGGGACAGCATGGAAGGCTGAGGACAGATGTACCTAATGGGAGCACAGAGGCCAGTCCCAACTCAGTGTCCTGGGGGCATATTATAACCTCACCTTCCACAGTTCCTGGCACCACAACTGCCCCACAACCCAGCAAGGGAGCTTATTACAGAGCAAATGAGTGACACTGGGTCCCTTTTTCTCCATTCTTTCTGATCCCAGGAAATAGGCATTATATACTCTTGACTGGAAAGCACCTGGCCCTTCTGCTTAGGACAAACAACTGAAGGGCCAGAGAGATCATCCCCCCATCCACCCTCTGGTCCCTTTCCTCAGCAACCTGTGAGGTCTTCAGGATAGTGGAGCTCCTGGCTGAAGCTCCTTGCCTTCCTGTGGTGTTGAGACTGTTAAGGCCTAGGGGCTGGCATCCCTGCTCAGGAGCCAGAGTCAGAGCTGCCCATGGGGCCACCTCCCAGGCCACGGAGTAGTAGCCCTGCATGCTGTTCTCAAGGCCACGTCTGCTGTGGCCTGCCCAGGAGCCAGAGTTTTAGAACTGGCTAGAGTGACACTTGGGGGAGGTGAAACTTTGCAGGGGTTCATGGTGAGGGGCGGGGGGGCGGCCATGCAGACAGAGGAGGAGGGAAGGAGCCAGAGTGAGCCTTCCCAAGAGGTAGGGGTTAGGGCTAACAGCTGATGCCACAGAGGCCTAGAGCCTTTGGAGGTAGGAGAGCCAAGAGGGACCCCCCATCAGAGCCTCATCCTGTGGAATGCCTACTCTGTGCCCTCATAAAGAAGAGGAACTAACATAGCGGCCCAAGATGACCCACCTCTTCAGACCTCTCCCCCCACACATTAAAGGAGTTGACATCGTAAGCTCTTCTGCACATTATTAGGGCTCTATTCCCCGCCACAGGCCCTCCCTTCCTCCTCCCCTCACCTGGCACACCTGTCCAGGTGCCAGGCTGAGGCTCGGGGAGGACCTGTGGCTGGCGTCAGGGAAACTGAGACTTTCCTCTCGGCTGCTGTCCCATTTATGTTGGGGAGAGAAAAGAGTTAGAAACTCACACATTCTCCCCTTGGACCTCAGGCTTCATCCTCCTCATAAAGCCAACATTGCAACCTTAAGGAAAAACATTTGTGGAAAGATTAATCCTGCCCTGCCAGGATCAACATCCCTGTGCTCAGCCGCTCCCCTGACGAGGCCCTTTCGCTTTCCGCTGTGCTGTTGTCCTGCTGCCCACGGCATCTCTTCCCCCCTCACAGTTGCCGGGCAGGCACGAGGACCCTTATCACCCTATTTGTTTCACACGAAGTGAATCACGCCCTGCCTCTCACACCTACGCTCAGAGCACCCGACACCGCCCGAGGCCCAGCTCCACACCCTTGACTGGGGCAGAGCAACAGGAGGCTCTGACAGAGACACTGGTCAGCTAGGCTGTGACCTAGGGGCCGGGGGGAGAGGCTGGGTTAGGCCTTAACAAGCCCTGCTCATGTCTAAGCCTGTGCTTCCGCAGCTCCAGTGCCCCCAGGTCCTGCAGCCCTGGGCTAGGGTAGCTCCTGGCACACTTCCCCACCAGGCCAGCATCTATGCAGACAGGGCATCCCAATTCACTCCCTAATAGGCCTGGGAAAGGGAAAAGAAGGCACTGGCCAGGGAATGGGACCAGGGCCAGGGCCAGGGTCTGTGGTGGCCGGGTAGAATGGGAATTGGCTGAATGACTCTCTCACGCCTGCCTCTGTGTGTGCGTCCGCATTGGTCTCTGTGGCATGAAGACACCTCCTCCCCTCCCCCGCTGCATGTGGAGCTGCAACAGGAAAGGGGCTCCAGCCTCAGCCCAGCCCCTGGGAAGGGTCAACTCCCTCCCAATTGCTTCCAGGAGCAAACTAAGCAACTTGTTCTCCCACTGTTTTCAGCCTTGGCAAGCTTGGTTGTGAAGAGAAAGGGTTTCATTCCACAAATCTGGTTCTGAGGCAAGGGGGGAGCCTCTCTTCCCTGAGGCCCCCAAACCCAAAGAGGATGATGGCCCAGTCGAACAGCCATCCCAAACGAGCCTGGCCTCGCCAACCCTGAAAACTGGGCCTCAGACATTGCTCATCTGCAGGCGTTGGGGGGAAGCCCAGGGCTCTCTGGCCGCTGGGACCCTTACCTCTGCTTTCCTTCCCCTCTCCAGGGTACTCCAGGACCAGTTGGAGTTCCAGGCCCAGCAGGACCAAAGGGTGAAAGGGTGAGCTAGGAGCCTGGGCAGCCAGGAGGGAGGGTAGGCCTGGGACCCGACTGGCCCCCAGAACAGCCCTCGTCCCCTTCTCTACCCATCTCTGCTCCTAATCATCCTTGCAGTAGCCTGGGGAAGCCAGGTGGTCTGGGCACAGGGTCTGGATATGTAGCTATGTGTGGACAGAGATTGGAGAGATCCAGGGGATGGAGAACTTCCTCTACCTCAACTTCTGGCCACCTAGCATCTGTCACCAGTCCAGTCTGGCAAGGCCCCAGCACTATTATCACCAGTCATGCCTAAACTTTGTAATGATTTAGGAAACAGCACAGAACAGAGCACCAGGTGGTATTTAGAAAATAACTGGAGGATATCAAGAAGTCAGGAGAGCCTAGCATTAGGCTCAGCTCCCATACCTGCTATCAGTGACCTTGGCCATGTCACACGACCTGCAGAGCTCCAGCCCATCCTTCATGGAGTGGGCATATGCAGGGGTGCAGGCAAAGAGCCTTGGCTCAGTGGCGGCTGGAGAGCTGTGTGTCTGTCCATATCAACTGTTCCCTCCCAGACCCATGTCCACACACCCAGGGCTTGGATGTCCCCTCAGTGGACATCGTTGAGCTCTGTGCTTGCTTGGGCAGCTCTCCCCCTCCATCCTCCCACCTGCTGGCTCTGCCTCAGGGGTGGGGAGGGTGGCGACTTCTGCAGAGGGGCACAGGCTTCTCTGAGGTCACCTACCATATGGGGAAAACAGGATGACTGCTCTGATGGGTGACTCTTGAGGCTGCAGAGGAGAAAGCTAAGCTGTCTTTCTACCCCCTTTCTCTTCCCCTGCCTTCCTGCTCCTTCTCCTGCTCCCCTGCTCCTGCCTCAGGCCAAGCAGGCCTGGAGCTGCCCAGTCCTTCTGGAAGCCTCGAGAGAAGCTCTGCTGGAGGGAGAATGAGGGGTTCTGGGGCAAGGTTGGCACTAGCAGTGCCCTGCCTTACACATAGCACTCACCTCCCAGAGGCCTCTTTGAGGGGGCTGGAGAGGATTCCCAGGCTTCACACCAAAGTAGAGAAAGGTAACAGAAGGTTGTTACCAGGTCAGGGAGGATTCATGAGTTTCTTTTCCTCCTTTCAGGGCAGCAAAGGAGACCCTGGGATGACAGGACCAACGGGAGCAGCTGGGCTTCCTGTGAGTCTCACAAGACCAGAGGTTTCTCTCCTCCCACCCCTATGCCGATCAGAAACACTGTCAGGCAGAACGCCCAACACCAGGGGCAAGACTCTGGGGCCAAGATGTCTGTGACTGAGGAAGCTACTGAGAGGCAAATGGTGATGGGCTAGAGCACTATTAGGAAACCAGGTCCTTAGCCACAAGGCCACCTGCCGGAATGTAGCACACATCCCGAGCCCCTCCCCTGTGTTAGACTCTGCAGGCCTCACAAGGTGAACAAATGTGTCATGGCCTCTGCCCTGGAGGAGGGGACAGAATCAAATCCAGGCTTTCATGGTACAAGGAGATGCTTCATGAGCAGAGTACCTTCCCAGGGGAGCTGGACCTTGAAGAAGAGACTTGATTTTCCCTCTGCAGCCTGTTTCCATATTGTTTTGTTGTGGAAGTTGAGTGTCTACTTACAAAAGAATGGACTTCTGTTTCCATCACTTGAAAGACTGGGCCTGCATTAGCTAAGTAGAAATGTCCAGGCCAGTCTTCTGTGACCATTCCCCCGGCTGAAGAATGGATAGCATTTTACACCTTGAAAAGAGGGTCTGAGGAGCTGCTGAGTCATTTTCTAGCAAGAGCCAGGCAAAAGAGCCACGATAGCTGTTCTCTGCCAAGAGCATTCTTTGCTCTCCGACCATGACCTCAGAATTCACCACTCACCTGCGTGAGTGACCCCAGAAGAACACAAAAGATGCCTGAGCTGTAGGGCTAGAAAATTAGAACTGGGTTCTTGGCTTGGCCCATAACTCATCACTTGCCTCTAGGTCCAGTTCCTTGAGCAATTTGCTTCCTTATTCCCATCTGTAAAATGGGGGTAATTAAACCTGTCTCTGATGAATTAGGCATCAGCAAAGAGCTTTACGAGCCTGGCTTATTTGTACAGCCATCCTGTGTTTTCTCATTACCATGTCTTCGTTGCTCTGATTTATTACAGGGTTTACATGGACCACCCGGGGACAAGGGAAACCGGGTGAGTCAGCCATGCTCTTCAGCTCTGGATACTAATGTCTTCATAATGGGGTGGAATGATCAAATGGGGATTCCCAACTTAGCACGGCAAATGAAGTTTTTCCTGATAAATCATGCTAAATTGAAAGGCTTTAGAGTGAGACCTAATCCGAGGCACGCAGGGAGTCTGGGGCCCAATCCTGAAACTGAAGCATATATTTTTCCACATGACTAGGGGACACCAAATCCCATGGCAGCCATCAGCTTGGCCTTGCCATCTAGCAGTGGGAGTCTGTGTCCAGCTCTCTCTAGGCTGCCCTGATAATGGGCCCCTAAGTGATATTTTTAGATCCATCGTTACCTTGTCTTCACCTTCTGAAATTTAGTTTTGCCACACATTCCAGGCCACTGGTGAGAGAGAAATAAATTCCAGTTCCGAGAACAAGCAGTCAGCTGTTGTAAGCAGCCAACCCTTTAAAAAAATAGTACAGCTACTATTTCTCTTGGAAAGACTCACCAGGGCTACAAATGAAGTATGCCTTCTTCGGCCCCTTTCTCTCCCTCTGCCTCCTGCCACCTTCACCAGGACATACTTACTGAATGTCCATGGCACCCACGACCACATGATGGTGCATGCCACATGCCACAGCCTTCAGCATCTGGGTCCAGCAGGGATAATTTAACTACATCTGACCATGAGATGACCTGTGATTTCCTTTCTAGAAAGTCTCATCCACTGGATTGCACAGTGCTCCTCTGTCCTCAGGGAGGCCCAAGCACTAGTGGGTTATAAAATCCAAGGCTCCTACAAAAGAAGGGATGGGAGGAAGAGAGGGACAAACAGGCCCCAAAGCCCCAGAATGAAGGTGAAATGTGTTCCCACCGAGAGTGAACAGCAGAGTATGTGGCTTCTATAAACGCCAGATCCTGTGGCTGATCTTTGAAAACTGATACCATGCTCAGGAAGAGAAAGTGCCAGAATCTGTGTTATGCCTGGCACCATTAATTCCATCGTCTTCAATTTAAGATGAATCTACTGAGCACTTCTGTATCCTTAAATACTCTTCACTGGCAACCCGGTCCAGAGCAACTCCCTCCAACAAGAGGGAGCAGACAGAGCTACTCCTACCAGATTGTCCACAGGAAGACCAGGTCTAGAAACCAGGTCCAGATACCCGCCAGCCTCTTAAGGCTAGAAGACGCATTCCTTAGTGTGGCATCAGAGAATTCAAGGCCTTAAAAACTTTGATCATTCCACTTCTCAGTGGGCATACTAACTTCCTTTCTAATTTATCCCTAAAGTGCTCTGGTTTTCTTTATTATTTTAATTAATATTTATAAACCTATTTCTTGAGACTTTTCCAGTTGGCTTGAGACGCTGAGCCATTTGGAGGCTGCAAAGTCAGTCCTTCCAGGAATGATGACAGTGTGCTCTGGAGGCAGAGGCAGGGCAGCAAAGCTCTCCTGTCACAGATGGATGGGGGCAGGGGCTGGGGGCTTAGATGCTGAAGGGGCCAAGAGTGTTGAGTAATCCACTGAAGTCCCCAGGAATAAGTGGGAAAATATTTCTTATCCATTTCCCCTTCCTACTGTTTGATGTACTTTCCCTCATTCCCAAGCCCCAAACAGGGATCTTTCTAAGAACACACATACCAGTGGAAAAATGTTCTGCCCTTGATACTAAGGTTGTTCCCCCCATCCCTAAGTAGCTTTGTAAATCTGGCCCAGCAGCCACCTTTCAGGATAAGAAATCAGTCAAAAGATACGAGGTGGTGTGAATCTAGCAATTTGATCATTGGTGAAATCAGGTCTTACCGTGGAGCTGCCTACAAGCCTGCCAACTGAAAAGGTCTGTCTGCATGCAGCGAGGTGGCTCGCGCCCTCTGCGGGACCCATGGGGAGGGGGTGTCTGGCTTCCCCAAGCCCATCCTGCCTCCTCACTTCCATCACTGCTCCCTCCTCTACTTTCTCTTTTGGCCTGGGCCTGCCTCTTCCTTTCTTTTCTCCTTCCAATTTTCACGCCCTAGATATTCTCCAGTATATTACTCCCATATCCGTCATCCTTTCCCTTACTCCCAAAACTTACAATTTATTTCCTCTAAAATCAATTTTTATACATTCACTGATATTTTTAAGAAGCCACTGCTCCTTAACCTTATTCACCCCTTCCCCTCACTGGCTAGAATTCCCTCTTTGCCAGCGTCTGTTTTGTGTCACCTTGGGGTGGAAGGTGGGCAGGGTGCAGGTGAAGCTATTCCTCTAACATCTTCAAAGGCCACCTGATCTGGAGCGATTGCCCAGGCACTTAGGACACGATGTCCCAGAGTGAAATGTCCCTTGTGAAACATGCCGGCCAATCATCCAGAACTGCAAATCACCGTCCCTTCAGCAGCTTTGTCTACCTTTTTTATCAGGAAACCGTGCTCACGAGTCATCCCCATCCAAATGGCTTGTAGTTTTGCTTGTCCGCCATTTGGGGATTATTCATGCCACTATGTTCTTATTGGTGGACATATCTTCAGGCCACTGGGATTATGCCTAATATGCACATACGTGTTTCTTCTTCCACACATGCCATTTTCTAAGTGAGAATGTACATTTTCAAAACTTTATTCCAAAGAATGCATTGGAAATTGCAGACAATATGTTGCATATAGTGCTCCTGTAGAATCAGAAAATGTGAGTGATTTCCAAAGATCCAGGGAAACATCAAAACTCTTCTAAGACTCTGCCTTCCTCTAATGAACTCGTCCTGCAAGAGCACTATAGGCAACAAGGCCTCTGATCCTGAGACTTCCTTCCAGCAGCAGCCTTAACTCCTATATTGGCAAACAAAAAATAATAATCATTATTATTATCATTTTGAAGCAGCTATCATTAACCAAGCTCATTCTATGTGCATTTAATGCACACAGAGACTTCACAACAAGTTTTTGAGGCAGCCACTGTTATTGTTCCCATTTTACAGGTGAAGAAATTAAGGCTCAAAGAGGTTAAGTAGTTTCCCTGGTCAAGCTACTGTGAATTGTCAGAACCAGCTCTGACTCCAAGCCTTTGTTCTGACTAGTACGCTGCCCAGCCTCTGAGGTCTTGTGACCTGGAGTAACACTGAGGAGGTACTGGCGCTTTATATAATCAGCCTTCCATAGAGGAAAGCTCCCAGGAAGTCTCTCTGGGGACACACTTAGCCCTCTTTTAAGGAAACACACGTATATTAGAGGTGACGCTCCACTTCTACACAGAATTCCCCACAGCCCTTCTTTAAACAGACCCCGACACACACAAAATAGAATTCAACTTAGAAAAATGATGTCCACTGAAGATTTTCAGAAACAAATTTCTCAAACCAACATGTCTGCATACAAGTAGCTGTCTATGACTTCAGACCAGGATGAACCAAACACACACATAGAATGGAAGGACTCAGCTGAGAACCAGGGGCCACTCATGAGCCCTGGACACATGTGCACACTCGCATATAGGCACATATATGTGAGCACATGCCAAACACATGCACTCAAACATGCACACGCATACACATGCCCGTGTGCTCATGCACACACATACACAAGCATGTACATGCATGTGCTTATATGTGCTGCGTTTGCACGCACACACACAAATACCCAGCTTAGTACTCTAAGTAAAATCACCTTGCCTCCTAAGAGAATGTCAAAGGAATGAAAAACAATTAGGACAAAAGGTTGGCAAACCAAAGCCTTTCAAACGTAGACCTTCAAAGAGAAGGAAGTTGGTCCCCCAAATAACCTGGGCTTCAGATTAGCACAATTGACCCACAGCATCTCCACTCTTCAATTCCCTCCACCTCCAGCTCTGAGTCCTGCTGCTCCATGTCCTCTGGCCCTGCTTGTCTCCCCTGTCCCCTCCCACTCACCTCAGCCAAAATTTCAGGTGCTTAGAGGGGGAAAGCGGGTATTGACTTCACATTCTATTGGGGAGAGTATCCTAATTAAGAGAATCTATTTTTCCCTCTTAAATTTTCTTTGTCTATCTCTAACCTTAACATGTGAATGATCCTAAAGTTTTGATGTTGTTGTTTTTCTTTTCTTGGACTAAACCATTATTTACAGGGGGAGAGGGGGAAGAAAGGCTCTAGAGGGCCTAAAGGGGATAAGGGAGACCAAGGAGCGCCTGGATTAGATGCCCCCTGCCCATTGGTATGTTTTTGTTTATCACTTGCATTGTTCTGGCTTTTTTCCTTGAGGTTTGCAAATTAGAAACAAAGAAGGCAAATCAGCTAAGATGAGAACCAAATGGTTACACTGATGCTACCAACATCTATCTGTTCATTTGACCGGTAAAATTCTGCCTGCTGTTGGTGTTGCCTTAAAACCACAGCTGCAAGCAATTCTGGCTAAATCCCTTCCTTTGAATCCCTTCCCTTTGAAGATGCAGAACAATTGATGTATGGAAGTGAAGAAACTATCGGGAAAGGGGCTTTCGAGAAGGCCTCAACTCTAGGCTCCAAGATGGCTTTGGAGGCCTGTGTAGCATTTGTGAGCCATGGATTTGCCTTCTTTATTTTGTGGCCACCTCTGGGGGCCAGCAGTTCACGCTGTCTGAATCTTCACTTGGCCAGGATGCAGAACATCAGAGTGGCATCTCCTGAAGGCCCCTAATGCTCAAAACCGGGCAGCATAAGGGCCAGATGAGGGGCTTTTTAACACACAGCCTGACAACACTTCCCAGCCATTCAGCAAAACCCTCTAAAGCTGCAGACCAGAACAGGTGGACAGACAGCCCATGGAAAGCCTTCCAAAGGAGTCAACAGTTCCTGATTTGGGGCTCATCAGCCAAGCTTCCTCAGTGTCTTTTCTTTTCTTTCTCTCTCTCTTTTTTTTTTTAGAGACAGAGTCTCACTTTGTCGCCCTTGGTAGAGTGCCATGGCATCACAGCTCACAACAACCTCCAGCTCTTGGGCTTAGGTGATTCTCTCGCCTCAGCCTCCTGAGTAGCTGAGACTACAGGTGGCTACCACAACGCCCAGCTATTTTTTGTTGCAGTTTGGCCGGAGCCGGGTTTGAACCTGCACCCTCGGTTTATAGGGCCAGAGCCCTATTCACTGAGCCACAGGTGCCGCCCCCTCAGCGTCTTTTCAATCCACCTGAAGGTTCTGAGAATTATGATGCACTAATGTTACAGTTTATCTGTGTTTTTCCCAAGGAAGTGGGAGAGAGGGTTGCAGGAGAGGGGGCTGGTTTGCAGTGTTCCAAAATTGAACTCTCTAGAGCACAAAGAGAGCACAAACTCTGAATTTGGGAGGTGAGAGAATTAGGGATTTAGCCATTGGGATTTAAACCCTGTTTACAGATGATGCCTTAAGGGTCCTGCATCCTGGCCAGGGTAGGACTGGGCCTCTCCACTCCACGGTCGGAGCTGGCCAGCCTTGACCTAAATAATCATCGTGGTTGGTTTTGTGAACAGGGACACCGAGGTTTTAAAGGAGAGAAAGGGGAGCCGGGGTTACCAGGGCTGGACGGACTGGATGCCCCATGCCCATTGGTATGGCATCACCCTTCCTTGCCTGCATGGCCGATTTGGGCTCCCCCTCGTGTGCAGTTCATGCCCGTGTGGCTCCCCAGCTGCCCCCCATGCTCCTCCTGCTCCATCCTGTCTCCTCTTCCTGCTTCTTTGCTCTGTAGACGCCAAGGGTCACCTTGCCTTGGCGGTGCTCTGAGGGCTCCCAGCCATGCTGCCCTCCTGCATGCAAAGTTTATCTGGATGTTTTCTTGATTTGGGGCACATCAGCCAAGTGCAGCTGCTTCTAAAGCACTTCATCTTAATGTGAGCTGCCCCTGCCACCCCGACATTGGATGCATCTGGCATGCATTTCCAAACTGCTTCTGAACAAGTCTGCCATCAGAGGTCAAAGTAGGAAAGTGAATTTTCCGGACAGGTTCTTAGAACTGTGGCTTCTTTTCCTTCAGGCAGTCCAGTTAGTTCAGAATCCCCTGGCTGAACACCTAGCAAAACATTTGAATGAGATGCCTGAGGCAGCCACATATCCCCTGTCCCTCCAGAACCTCACAACTTGCCAGGGGACAGATAGGTGATGGGCATGCGTACAGACAGAAAGTAGACTGCAAAGCTCTAAAACCCAGGCTCTTGCAGTCTGTTCTTCCAGGTTGGGTCCTGGGTCACTGCCTGAGTGACACCATCAGAACTAGAACATGGTCCAAGATTAGGTTTTTAGATCCTAAAGCAGGGGTCCTCAAACTTTTTAAACAGGGGGCCAGTTCACTGTCCCTCAAACTGTTGGAGGGCCGGACTGCAGGCCCCGGGATGAGTCAGCTGCTAAGCAGAACAGGCAGCGGCAGCAAAAACACCCGGCGGGCCGGATAAATGTCCTCGGCAGGCTGCATGTGGCCCGCGGGCCGTACTTTGAGGATGCCTGTAAAGAGTTCATCTTTTTTGCTTAACCCCCAGGAGACACCTCCTTTGGTGTCTCTAGTCAGATGACTCACCATTGAAGAGTCTGGGACAGATGGAATGGTTGAGAACCTAGGAGGAAAACTAAGAGAGGACCCCTCTCTTAAGCATGTCTTGAGCTAAGAGGTAGCAGTTTATTCCTACCCACCCCGACCCTCTCTAGGCCAATCTTCTTACCTTACCGCAAAAGAAGCAAAAAAGGTGATTGGCTTGAGAGGTTACTGCTAAATCTCCCCCGCAGGTTTGGAGTGTGAGAGCTATTTCATGTCAGTAATAGATGAGAATTTCCAGCCTCCTATGCCCACCCCGGGGTCATACAGAAATTCTCTTCAAATGGAAGACAAGAAGGCATAAGAAATTATGCTGTGTGACCCCAAAGGTGGCTGAAAGGCCTCTCTAAGAGCACTAGGGATGTTTTAGGACCAGTATGTGCAATGAAAGGAGAGCACAGAATGAGCGGGCCAAGCGGCAGCTTCCTATTCCCACGGCCCCCAGGCCTGCCTGTCGAACCCGAGCATGCAGCATGCCCAGGCGCCTTTCTCACCTGGAATCTCCTGGTCCCCTCAAAGCACCTCCATGAATCACCAGCCAGGCCCTCCCTCAGCCACGATCCCCTCCCACGATCTGAAAAGCTCTGCCGGCAGCAGCCTTGGCCTCCCTGCTCCTCACCATACATTACTTTCCGTTCTCTGCCTGCCCCCTCTCCACTGCCCCGGACCCCGCCACCATGTGTCAATGGGAATGCCGCTCCAGCCCACAGCGGCTCCTCTCCCGTCCAGAGTCCCTGTGAAGTGTGCCGCAGCATGGCCGGCTGGCAAGGGGCCAAAGGGCCATCATGAACCGTGCACCACCTCCCACCTCCCCTTGCTGTCCCCTCCCTGACCCAGAGGGAAAATGAAGGTCATCCTTATCTGACCCTTCATGCAAAATGGCATTTTCTCCAATAACATCCCCTACTGATGTGTCATTTGTCTATTAATTTTGCTATGGAAGTGTCCAGATCTTCCCCTTGCTGTTTGTTATTCTGCCTCCTGTGCTGTGTTATTATGGACTTGAAGGGCAGGGGAAGCTATTGATCATGATTTTTAGCACAAGACAACCAGGCTTCTTCCGCCCTCCCTATTGAGCAAAGTACCTGTGAATATCAGGTGATGAGTGCTTTGGGCGCCTGGTGTGGGTGGGTGGAGTCCATCCAGGGAACGAGGACTCCCACTCAGCAACCTCCCTCAGACCTGGCACTCGCTCCAGTCTCTTGAAATCTTGTGTCCATCTCTCTCTCTGCCCTGGAGCCTAGAATTCTAGAATCCTGGCTGCCTTTCTAGTAGACTTGGACGGAGAACCAGTTCTTTGCCCTTGGTTCAGCCTCACCTTGTCTCTTATTAAGTTTCCAGATTTCCCTCAGGGCAAGCCCAGGTATTAGGGCCTGAGAAAACTCAGGAAGGTTTCCGTCACTTCAGGGAGAGCATCCCGAGGCTAAGGGTGCTCCATGGTTCCACTGACAAAGGAGACAAACAGTATACAGTTGATTGCTTCCCTGCTACAGCATTTCACCCCCAAATTCCCAGTGGTGTATACAGCTGTGCTGAAAACCCAGGTCTTCTTGCTGAAGACATCTCAGGGTGGTGGGCAACCCCCATGAGGCTGCCTGACCCTTTATACCCCTCACCCCCACCCCAGTATGGATCACTATGGAGGAGCTATCTAGATGTCCTCCTCCCACTGCTTAGGAAGAGAGTGGGAGGGCTGGGAGGATCCGTAGCAGTTGCTTTAAGCAACTGCCCTTGCCCAAGCTTTACAGAGGAGGAAACTGAGACCCCCAGGTGCTGAGTGTCTCATCTGTGACCATCAAGCCCTCCTGGGAGCTAGCGCAGAAACTGTTCCCTCACAGCACTCAAGGATGTCTCTGCCTGCTGAGCCCATAGGCTAGGACAGCCCCACTTGGCCCTGCACTATAGCTACATGACCTCAGCCAATGGGAAGACAGCCGGACTTGTTTCCCATCCACTTCTGAGGTTCTGACCTGGAGTAGAGAAAAGAAATACACAAGAATGGGTGGGCCATGGCCTGGTCAGCTGCCAAAATGTTTGTGGCCCTTGTTACCCCCGTCCTGGCTGCTTGGTGGACTGTCACAGAGTCTGAACCCTCTGCCTTCCTTCCTTCCTCATTGCAGGGTGAAGATGGCTTACCAGTCCAGGGCTGCTGGAACAAGGTAGGGTTTCTCAGCCATTTGCATTGGGGCTCCATTCTCAGTAGTCCAATAAAGATTTGATGGTTTTCATTCTGCCTTTCTACAGATGAGGCAGCACGACACAGGTGGGGGAACAGGCACTAACTCAAAGGCAGGTGCCCATTACACATCCCGCGCACCGAACACAGTTAACATTTGACCAGTTTATCACAAATCCCAGTATATGGAATTTCCATGCAGCCAGGTGATATCTTTATGCTTTGTGTGGTCAATATAGGTCCTCTCCAAGGACGTCCAGACCATGTCTTTAAATTAGTTATCAATTAGCTACTCTCAGTGTTCATATGAGGTCATTTAAGCCACGTGATGACATTAATCCAGATGTAGAACATCTAAGTTCCTTAAACTCTACATGGCTTCTGTGGCTCCTCCTAGAGACTGTCCTGCTCACCTTGAACTTAAGCTGTCAGAACTTGATGCTTCCATACATGTGACCGGCAGCCCAGGTTCTCCTGGGTTCCCAGGGCTCCTACCAACAATGGGTTTTCATTTATTCTCAGTGCCATAGCATTTGCCACCATTAATGCATCTGATGCCACAGGGTTGAGCCCCTTCACCTACAGCTCTCCAAAGGGCAGGGTTCCCAGGGCTGACAAGGACCATCAGCTTGCTAATCCAGAAGCCCCCTTGGCTCCTAGCTAGGTAGCAGCTGCCATGCTGCCCCTGCCTGCCTTCCTCTGCCTTGCCTCCTACACAGCCCTCCCCTACCACCATTGTCTCAGGGTGTGGGTCCATCCTTAGAAAAGGGCTGGGGACTCCAACCTATTCAAAAGTCTGTACTTAGCTAATCCAGGCCTATTCCAGAGTCAGCAAAATCACACTTACATTGATATGAATAAGCTCCCCTGCACTAAGATGCCCAAAATTTCATTAGTTCTTGGGACTGGGTGAAAGTAGCAAAACCTCCAAGTTGCCAGGCCCTAGGTGGAACACCTGCTCACCCAGTAACTGAGGAAGGGAAAGCTCACCTCTCAGGAGACATCACTCCCCAGGATCTGTCCCTCAAGCCGACCTCATCCTATTGTCGAGTTCCACGTAGACCTAGTTAAAGTACCATAAAAGCAGGTCAGAGGTTGTCAAGTAAGACCCCAACCCTTTCCTCCCTGAGGAAAAGATTTTCCTCTTCAAGATTGCTGCTGATGGTTAGGAGACAGAATTGGTTGGGAAAAACAGCCACTCTCAAGACCTTCAGTGCCTTGGACAAGCAGAGAGCCTGGGGACTGTTCATTCATACCTAAAGATCAATCTAGGACCGGACTGTCATTAAACAGCCAGGCCCCCAAAGGCAGCCAAGAGAGAAAGTGTCTTCTGAAGTCCACCAAGGGGATTCACTGGGAGGTGAAAGATGGGTTTCCCGCCTTCAGAGGGCTTACAGAAACCACCACTTTCTTCCACCTAGGGGCCTTGTGGTCCCCTCAGTCCCCACCAGAATGCCCTTCCAACCCAGAACGAGATTCGCCTCCTCCCCAACAAGGGAAATAAACACTGCAAACCCACAGAAACTAACCGAATGTTTTTTGTTTTGCAGTGATGCCTCTAACCTTGGATTGGCCTGTGTGTGTTTGTATATAGAATATTTATTTTTATACAGTTTTCACTTTTTGAAAATGCCAGAAGTATGATGCATCTTACAGATTATTAAAAAAGAAAAAGAAAAACCTGCATATTTTGTACAGAAAATATCAACCTCTTCCCTTTTGTTTACAAGATGTTTTGTATAAGTCTATGTTTCTAATACACTTTTTGTTTGTGAATATGGTTGCGATGTTTGCATGATATTTGTGCACAATTATTAAGTATTGAAGCTTAATAAATTATTGTGTCCCAGTGCCAAAGGGGGCTCAGTGCTGGCTAGCTTACATGTGTATTCACATAAAGGTGAGTGTCCACGATGTTTCCCAAGCTACATGTGTCCAAGAATATTTTAAGAATAATTGGGCTGGACTTTCATTATTTAAAAAAAAAAAAATGAGGGGCCGTGCCTGTGGCTCAGTGAATAGGGCACCGGCCCCATATACCAGAGGTGATGGGTTCAAACCTGGCCCCCGCCAAAAACTGGAAAAAAAAAAAAAAGCTGGGTATTGTGGCAGGCTCCTGTAGTCCTAGCTACTTGGGAGGCTGAGGTAAGAGAATCGCCTAAGCCCAAGAGCTGGAGGTTGCTGTGAGCTGTGACGCCACAGCACTCCACCAAGGACGACAAAGTGAGACTCTGTCTCTAAAAAAAAGAAAAAGAAAATGAGGCCAGACACAGTGGCCCACAACTATAATCCTAGCACTCTGGGAGGCCAAGGATGGAGGATTGCTTGAGCTTAGGCATTCAAGACCAGCCTGAGCTAGAGTGAGACTCCGGCTCTACCAAAAATTGGAAATTTTTTTTAAAAAATAGAAAAATAAGCTGAGCATTATGGCTGGTACCTGCAGTCCTAGCTACTCAGAGACTGAGGGAGGAGGATTGCTTGAGCTCTGGAGTTTGAGGCTGCTGTGAGATAGGCTTATGCCACGGCACTCTATCCTGGGGCAGCAGAATGAGACTCTGTCTCAAAAAAAAAAAAAGCATAGCAACTCATGATCCTAATTAATCATTAAATTAGATACATTCTTTCATGTAAAATCAAGAAGTCCCAACAGTAAAGAGACTTGCTCCAAAGTGTGGAGTAATGTTTTGAAATGTGGAGTCCGGCAGAGGGAGGAGAGGACTCTGTTAAGTACTACCTGCTGTAACATGGCCAAGTTCATCCCAGAGTTTGCTGTTTGAGCAGTTAAGTTCCATTGTGCTGAGGGCCCTCGGGAGTGTGAAGGGGCCATTTGCTATTGCTTCTGGTGTGGGGTGGGGGGTTGCTTGTTTCTGTTTGTTTGGTTTGGTTTTTCCCTTTTGAGCTACAGTCACTTGTACCAGCTATTGTGAATGATCCTGGCTGCCCACTTGACTTGAACTTGTGGGTCCACTTGCAGCTAGAAGGTGACAGGGCTCTGCCTCGCCTGCCATTCCACTCCAGCAAAGAGCACATGGGAAGCATTCACAAATCTGGGCCAGACTGTGCCCATCCAACGTTGTTTTTATTTTTTTTAAGGGTTTTATTGCTTTCCATTCATAATGCACTGCTTAATAAAGCAGCAGGAAGCCAAATCAATGATTAGGCGTAGCCTACAGGCTTGTTAGTGGCTGTTTTACAACATGAATCGGTGCTGCTAAAGGGCTGGAAAGGAACGAGTGACTCCAGTAGTTTAAACAGCCCCCCCCCCACCTCCTTCCTGCTTTACCTTTTCTTTATACATCCTTTCTGCATAGACAACACAAAGGACAACCACAACTCAGATTGTGTCTCCATGCAGTCACACGAACTCTAAATTAGCAGACGTCACACTTGTGAGGCCCCTGCCACATGCGGGGATGAGGCCACACTCACAACTCTTTAAGTTCCTGGAACCACGTGCTGCCCACCTGTGGTTGGATTGTACTGACATTCTTACTCCAAATGTCTGCTCGGTTATTTTGGAAATCACAAGCTTCCTCCTCTATATCTTGGCCTCCTTGGCTCTGGACGACAGTCGAACAAGGGTCGATCTCTGTGGGTGTGAAAGGAGCCACCAGGCTCTCACCTCCAGCCAAGTAACCCTGGACCCAGGGTCGCCTCTTGCCCAGGGCCGGATACCTATGACCCTTCCCAGGGCCCACTCTTCCCACAGGCATGGTGGCCATAGGGTACTTTCAGGTGTCACAAAAAAATTCAAATTTTACTATCATTAAAGTCAGAAGGAAAAAAAGTGCATATGTAACAATGAATCCAGCCAGGATTATTTTTATCTTTCTACCAGTATAGTCGTAAAATAAAATATTTTACATTTTTTTATGGAGGAAGGAGCCTACCAAGGCAAAAGTGCCCAGGGCCCTCCAAAGCCATAATGCTGCCCTGCCCGTGTCCTCTGCTTTTTTGAATTCACTCTCACCCTAACTCTGCAGGTGACACCATCCCCAGTGCCACCTCACCTCCTCACACCACAGGTGAGGTCCCAAGAAATCAGGGTGTAACCTGGTTCTTCTAAACCCAATCAGGCCCTGGCCGAGCAATTGGAACCCAATGATGAATTCAAAGTAGGGTCTGACTTTGGCTGGAGGTCCCAGAAACAAAGATTCTGCGTTAGCCAAATACCCTGCGTAACTGGGCAAAGAGGAAGCTCTACTCTTTTTTCCAGTCCTGGGGTTATTCATGTGATCATTATACCTCAGCTAATGACCAGAGGATTCCAAATCACTTACAAAAATACATATAATCAAATAGAAATATGTGTAAAGAGAAGTTTAAAAGTCAGAGCCAAGGAAAAGCAAGCATAGAGGGAAGCCCCATGGGTAGGAGGGTACTTGACTTGCTGCCTAGTAGTCACGGAAAAAAAGAAATGATCAGCCTGGTTTTGGGGCCCATGCTGCCCTGCCCAGTGGGCCACAGTCCACTGAGGTTTGGTTCCTTGTGCATAAACATGTCACCTCCCCACAAGGCAACTGCCTCCTCATGCCTCTGCCATGACCCCCTCCCTGACGCAAGGCTGCCGCACACACCCCCAACCCTGACTTCAGGGCTCCCTGCCCCCCCCCAAATCTTAATTCTGTGCCAGGATGTGAGAACTGGGAGGACAAGTGGTGGGAAAGTTGCAGAGTAGTGGAGCATCAGTACTGACACCCAGTACTCACCACCCCAGGACGAGGAGGCGAGATGGAATCATCGGGCTGGCCTGGAAGGCACTGGTATACCGCAAGAGGGAGCAGGCGAAGACTGCCCAGGGTTCATGGGATAGAGATGCTGTCTCTATTCTTGGGGACCTGCAGCCCCTCCTGGGGACACCTGCCTGCCCAGGGAGCCAGAGATGCACCCAGCCTCTTCCACTGGGCACACCATGGACATGTTGGTGAATGATCTTTGTGAACTGTCAGGCGCTGGGTTTTCAGGCCATTTATCCCCTTTGGTTCACTCTCCCTTCCTGGTGCCTGCCACTCTGTGCTCTAGCACATCGGAACACATAGTTACCTAGCACTATTGACCTGGGACACGGAAAGCTGACTCAGTGCCCCTGGGGGTGACAGTGTTCATCTAGGCCCAAATAATGACTCTCCCCAAGGCTGGTGAGTCATGTGGCATTGTCATGTGGGCCAAAGGAAGCCCGGCTTGCTGAAGGAAGGGATGGCCCTCCCACACATGCCTGTATACATGCTTCCAGCCTGGGGCCGGCCTCCCTGCCCAGAGCCTGACTCACCGGGCAGAATGTGATGAAATGGAGCTGGGAAGGGTTAGCATTAGCCCATAAGAGGAGTAGGGCACCGGCGAGCAAGCCCAGAGACTCCACTTCTAGTTCTTTCTCTGCTATTAAATAGCTGTCTGGCCTTCGGCAATTTACTCCAGGTCTTAGGTTCCCCAAGCATCAAATGAGGAAGTTAGACATGGTGACCCCCATGGCCCCTCCAGCTCAGATACCCTGAAACTCTCTGACTGCACTGGCAGGTCAGCTGCTGGGAGGGTTGTGGACTCTGGAGCATTCCAACCCCTCTCCTCCCGACATCTAGAGTATTGGGGTGTGACAGTGTCATGCATGGCACTGGTATTGCAAAACTGCAGCATGCATGTGCTTCGTAACCCTGACTAACAAAACTCCAGTGGGCTGCAACACGTGGGCAAGGCCAGTTTTCCTTAGGGTAAGAATGGCTATAGGTTGCTTCTCACATGTCTACACTGAGAATGCATTAGACAGTGATCAATACAGCTCTGACCACCTGGCACACAGGGGAATCCTTCAGGGACACTGTGCTGGTGTGCAGGCTGGCCTGCATCCCCTGCCCCAGGCCTTCTGTGTCCCTCCCCACACTCCAACAGCCAGCTCTCTCCTCTTGCCCTGGACTTGGACACATTTTCAGGCAGCTTGAGATGACAAGTACCCAAGACTGCACATCATTTACAAAAGAGAGACAGGCAAGCTCCTGGTGAGTAATCCAGAAAAAAGAACACCATGCCAAGATGACCAGCAGAAAAGGAAAGTGAGGGAGGAGCCAGCTGCTCAGATCTCAGAGGAGCAGAGCTTTCAAGGGTTCCTTGTAGCAGCAAAGGGAGGATGGCACAGGGGAGGGAGCTGAGACTTCCCTCAGGCAGAATTTGGTGCTATTCACAGGCAGTGACCTTCTGTTCTTGAAAAAGCTCAGTCTCAGAAACAGCCAGGCCTCTGTCAGGTGGGGGTAGAGGAATGCAGCCCTCTGGCCCTCCTGGGCCCTCCCCAGCAGGCCCCCCTCCTTTCCAGGGTCTGCTCCCTGACCCTGCACGCCCCCTCTCTCACCCACTCCACACCCTGCCTGGAATGCCTTACTTTCTCACCTGTCACCATCCTACCTGCCTACCCCAGCTCAGACATTATACCAGGGCCCTAGGAAGACGCTCCTGGGTTCCTCGCTTGGATGAGCTCGTCCCTCCTTGCACCTGCCTGGAACTCTGCGTTCTTTCCTTCATGTACCTTATAAGTGTGGGAGAAGGGGCTCTTCCATATTAGATGGTGAACTCTTAGAGGGCCGGGTCCTTCACATTCTGGTTCCCAAGGGACCCATCCTTCATGTCTATGACCCACCAGTTAGCAGCCAGCTCTATGAAGCACCAGCTGTGTGCTTCATGTCAGTCAGGGGGAAGGAAAGGAGGGGCCACCAGGAGCTGTCTCCAATGCAGGGACAAGTAGCCTAAATGCTAAATGAGGAACAGCCAGCTGGGGCTTGGGAGCACTGAGCACAGAGTCCACTGTGGTGTCTAGAATGAAGAGAGTTACAGGAAGAGATAACCGAGCTGAGAGAGGGGAGCTGACCCTGCATTCCTTTCCCTGACAGAATCTTCCAGTAAGCATGAGCCTGGGCCAGGCCCACTTTTCAGATCAGGGAAGGACAGGTGGGATGATGGTAGAAGAAAGTGGAGAGAGAGGGCACCCCCAGACTGTGCAGGG